TGTGATGAGGAAGATTGCCTCGTCTAAAATTGTGAATTTCGTGGCGCCAGGGTCAGGAGGAAAATATCCAAATATGAGACACATATGTCAGAATTTTTGCATCTAATATCAAAACCATTAGTATTAGCAAGATTTATTTCGTGATGGTCGCCATATTGGAGGTTTACAAGCCCAAATTCCTTGATCATTCAACCAATTTGAACTCATACTGGGCAATTGTAATTTTAGAATTTTAAAAGATTGTTGCTCTTATACATGTATTTTTGCAATGCAAAATTAAAATTGGTTGCTCAAAGAGGAAAATTCGCTCGCATTCGATTCTCTCGTTGGACCTCCAATATGGCGGCCGACACGAAATAACTCGTGCTATATTAAGGCTAATCGAAAACTCTCTTTATGTACATGTATATTATACAAAAATGGAAGTAGTTGTTGTGAATTGACAGTACGTCGTCGATATATTTATAAATGTCAAGGTGAAGACCTTAACAAGTATTTTCTTATCATTAATATGTTTTTGAATAAATTCTGCTTCATCAGAATTTCAAATATTTTTAGTATCAACTTCGAAGTACATGTACTTGTGTGTATAATCGAATCATCTTTAACAATGACTAATGGTCTCCCGCGTGGCTCGATCAGTGGCTAGAGCGTCTGCTCTACAATGAAGCGCATTGAAGTGGTAAAATTTTCCGTTCGAATGGAACGTTTTGAGCTATCTTTAGAACGTTTATTGTCATCTTATGACACGCCCATTTCTTTAGAAATGGATAAAACGGTCAATTTGTTTATTCCAATACCTGTAGAACAGGTTTTCCATAAATATAATAGCCAATCAAATTGACGGTCTAAATAAACGCCGAGTAAACACGTGTTCGACCGAAACATGTGTTGTCGTAACTTCAATAGACATGATAAGTTCAAAGATATGTACATATTCGTTGCAATTTATGTTTTACATAAGCGGGGAGTCTTTAACTCTCTCTTCTTATTTTTTTTCAAGCTCCATTTCAGTGTAACTCATATTGCTTGTCGCGAAGATTGGGGTGTCCTAAAACATTACGACGAATATTTCTTTCTCGTTTCTAAAAATATGGGCGTGTCATTATGTTTTAATTGACGTTCAAAACATGACTCAGAACGTTTCGTCCAAACGGAAAATTTTACCACTTCAATGCGCTTCATTGTATATTCACGTAGTAAGGAGTTGATCCTTACGTTCCGGGTTCTGAATCCCACTGTGGCACGTGGAGATCGGTCCTTCGGATGATATCGTTTAAACAGAGGTCCCGTGTCGCACTAGGTTCAGCAGCTGGCATGAAAAAGATCCCTAACGGTTCAATGGGCGTAAGCGACGAATGTAGGACAAAAGAGACGTTAAACAACAAACAAATTATGACTAATGACAAGATTAATAAATGAGAGTTCAAATTCTTTTTCGAAAAAGCAGCCGTCTATGTCAAAAGCTGTCTGTCAGATAGCTTGGACTTTAAATTATCGTGAGAAACGGATGCATTAAGTGTTGAAAAGTCGTACGTGTTGATGATACTGAATTTTTGCCTGGTTTTACAAATAAAATTTTGAGATATGAATTTCAGCCTGACGTATATAAATTGATCACATGATTGATTGTATGTTGTTAAACTTCCCTCTTGATAATTTTTCACTCATATGAAGACGCCACCACTTGCCGGTGGAGAGATACAAATTTTTGTCCCATACTCGATCGGCACTCAAGGCCATTAAGCAGTGAAGGATCTTTTTTTCATGCCAGTACCTGCTGCGACACGGGACCTCGGTTTATACGGTCTCATCCGAAGGACCGATCTCCACGTCCAACAGTGGGATTCGAACCCGCGACGTAAGGATTGACTCCTTACTTCGCGACTCTAGAGCAGACGCTCAAACCAGTGCTCCACGCGGGCGACATAAATCACTAAATTATGGAAGACGTGTCACGTTCTAGTATATTAATCTGTTTTTGAATATGAATATCTAAGTTTCAAATATAAATCACATGATTATCGCAAATGAATCAACAAATTATCAAATTTCGCAGAAATATGGCTGAAATACTGCGGACTCGACGTTAAACAGTAATCAAAAATATTCTAATAGCAAAGGCACTGCGGAGCGGAGAATTTCATCGCAGAGAGCATACTAAATCAATGCAGTATTGACAGCGATTCTGATGCAAATTATATCGCTTCCGTTTCGCACAAGGACAAACTAACATACACAAAACTCTCTCACGTTACTTTATCCGCTCCAACTCTATTACCAGGGGACAAAAAGGCTTTTGAATGATAATTTAAAATTATATATTAAACTTAATTTTCGCTTATTCGAATATGAACCACAAAAGAATTGAACATATTCTTTTTTTTTTTTTTTTTGTTATTATATCACCTTGAATAAATCACCTTTATGCAAACCAATAAGAAATTGTCTTATATAAAACACAGAATTATTATCGGCCTATTTGTGGTTGTGTTAGAAAGTGCACATGGGAAATGCGACGTTTTTTTTCATCAGTTCTGTAAACTAATTCTTAAATGATAACGTATATTTTTAATCATAAGTAAAATATTTTTTTTTAAACTTGCTTTAAACTGAGCATTAATTGTTGTTATTGTGTTTCAATTTGATAGTCATTTATCATCAGGTAATTGATAATTTATGGTTATATAAAAAATTACAATAGATACTCCCCAGCCATTGAGTTTGTAAGATAGGAACGGAAATTGTCGTGATTTTCCGGATAATAATGACGTGGTAAAAGTTGCAAGGAGAATAAAAATTGAAACGATTTTCAATTAGTAAAAATTGTTTTAAATGTGCTATAGATGTGAATGACAAAATAATAATTTTTTCCTACATTCTTAGCTCAGGCTCAAGTGAGCTTTTCTGATCACATTTTGTCCGTCATCCGTCTGTCCGTCTGTCTAGCTGTCTGTCTGTCCGTCTGTAAACTTTTCACATTTTCGACTTCTTCTCAATAAACGCTGGGCCAATTTCAACCAAACTTGCCACAAAGTATCCTTGGGTAAAGGGCATTCAATTTTGTTCAAATGAAGGGCCACGCCCTCATTCAAGGGGAGATAATTGGGAATTAATGAAAATTTAATGGTATATTTTAAAAATCTTCTTCTAAAGAACCACTGTGCCAGGAAAGATGAAACTTATGGGGAAACATCCTCAGGTAGTGTAGATTCGAATTTGTTCAAATCATGACCCCCGGGGGTAGGGCGGGGCCACAATGGCCGACCAAAGTTTTACATAGAAATATATAGGAAAATTCTTTAAAAATCTTCTTCTTAAGAATAGCAAAGCCATAATTGATCATGTATTTATATGGAAGCATTCAGGTAGTGTAGACTCAAGTTTGTTCAAATCATGACCCCGGGGGTAGGGCGGGGCCACAATGACCGACCAAAGTTTTACCTAGAAATATATAGGAAAATTCTTTAAAAATCTTCTTCTCAGGAATAGCAAAGCCATAATTGATCATATTTATATGGAAGCATCCTCAGGTAGTGTAGACTCAAGTTTGTTCAAATCATGACCCCCGGGGGTAGCGGGGCCACAATGGCCGACCAAAGTTTTACATTGAAATATATAGGAAAATTCTTTAAAAATCTTCTTCTCAAGAATAGCAAAGCCATAATTGATCATATTTATATAGAATCATCGTCAGGTAGTGTAGATTCAAGTTTGTTCAAATTATGACCCCCAGGGGTAGTGAGGGGCCACAATGGCCGACCAAAGTTTTACATAGAAATATATAGGAAAATTCTTTAAAAATCTTCTTCTCAAGAACAGCAAAGCCATAATTGATCATATTTATATGGAAGCATCCTCAGGTAGTGTAGATTCAAGTTTGTTCAAATGGGGGTAGGGCAGGGCCACAATGGCCGACCAAAGTTTTACATAGACATAGGAAAATTCTTTAAAAATCATCTCGCCAAGAATAGCAAAACCATGATTGGTCATGGGACTACCTTTGGATTTAAATTTTTCAATAATAAACCAATTTTTCCTAGCCACAGTGCTCAGGTGAGCGATGTGGCCCATGGGCCTCTTGTTTCATCGTACTACGCACCTTGCAGCATAGCCTACTCTGCAGAAACCATGGGTATTATCAAATGACAAAGATCCAGGGTATCAGCACGTATTATCATTTATCATTGACTTTTTTTTTACATCGATGAATCAATTTGATGAACAAATGCACTAAAATTTCTATTTATTTAATTTAAAAAAATATTTTATTTATTTTGCTTTGAAGACCTTCTGAAATAAAAATGATCTATTTCAGCTTTGAATATCTTGTGCTTTCCGTGCATGAATACTTTTGGAATTGTGAAAGTAATTTTCAAAATGATAAATTTTGCAGCCGATTTGATGTTTTGCATCAATTGTACTTGTTAAATATGAATCGCAAGTTTTTTGATATAAATATCAAGTTCTTGAGTATGATTTTAACGTTCCATATACAGTACAATGTATATAAATTAAAAAAAATTGCTTATGATAAAATATGTTTTAAAAAATGAATAACAATTTTTTTTGCTGAAAAATATCAATTTTCCAGATATAATTCACAATGTTTTGCATACAGATAACATTATTTCGAATATGAATAACAATTATCGAAAATTTACAAGATACTATATTAAAAAATTGTGTTAAATTTGCCAACTTTATTTTTTAAAAATTTGGTTGTAATTCAAAAATTTTGTTATTCGTCATATTCGAAAACTTATTATTCTTGTACTCTATTTGTGAGCCAGCTTGTTTTCGATCCCTAAAATCTCGTTCACAATATACTTCTCTCCAAAGATTTTTTTCATTAGTACGGTTCAAGTAATTAAAGTACGTAAACTGCAGTATATGAGGAAATTGTTAAGATGATTTATAGCTTGGAATAACCATAACAGTTAAACACAATACCTTAAAGAATGTCAGGAATCTAAGAAATTTGAGCCTAAGATATTGACAGCTGACTAAATATAATGTTTCTTGTTAACACGTATCACGGACTTCAATCGCAGGAAACAAGACAAGGCTGTATGATTTATTACGTGTGGTCACTCTCTTTCGTCCTGTCCGGCAAAGCGAGGAAGAGGCGGGACCACGGTCATCATAAAAACATTCATCCATAAATGCCAAACATACTGGATAACTATTATAAACCAAACATCATGAGAACTCAAATAGTGGTGAGTTTTTTGCTTCGTATTTTGCTAAAGATATGCTTTCTTTTTTTCAATTATGTCTTCATTAAGCAACTTTATCAACTTTTTTTTTATTTAAGAAAGGAGAAATTAACTGTTTTAGTTACAGTATTAATTTGACTTTAAACTTCATCCAGGGTCGTCAACAAGGGATCCATCAAGATTTTTTGCAGAACTGTTTATTTTTTTTCATACCATGTTACCAGTATCTATGTTTTATTACAGGTGTATATTTTTTATCTCTGTCATTAGAAGTGGTTGCAAAATATTTTTAAACATTTTACAATACCTATATAAAAATATACAAAACTAAAATTACGCTATCTTTAGCGAATTTAATTTCACTTATATAAAAAATTAAAGAGTGATTTTCCCGTGTTAACTTTGAATTCCAGAATAGTAATATTCTATATGTATTCTATTTATATGACTCAAACTGCACGATGAATGCTGTCCAAACTGTAATATATGTGTCAGATTTCCTCAAATATGTGTCAGAGAGAAAATAATGAACTGGTCCTCATTAATAAAAGGCACTAGGGCAGAAAAGCTACTTTATGACATTGTCTCCAAGCATTTCGATTCTTTGGTTGACCTTTAACCCTCTAGCTGATACATCTATAGTACTCTTGCAGTTCGTCCATTATAACTGTAACGTGCAAGACTTTCTCCTACCATTATTCAACATGACATGGACATTCATTATGTATAATGCATACATAATTTAGTCCTATTTGGCACATTCAACCCAAGAAATCTGCATCCCAATAACTTTCTTCAAAATAAAATATGAAAGATTAAAAGAATCTTGTTTATTGATAAAACTTAACGTTCATTTCCTCAAGCTGTAAAAAGTCTAAAATTAGGTTGTTTTGCTTGTTATACTGTTTTTTATGGATAACTGCTAGGGTGGTGCTCAGTTTGACACAATAAAACACAACTGATAGTTGAGGAATTGGAATGGTCATTTATTTAACAAATAAATGACAAAGTATTATGCAAATAAAACATATAAAACATTTTTTTCCTGGTTGTGACGCAAACTCATGTGACATCAATAATCGTTTTTACCCCAAACTCTGCCTTATCTCACGAAGAAGTGCATAAATCTAGCTGCTCTCATTAGAAAAATTTAGAAAGTTTATATGAAAATTTTCTGATTACAAATTTAGAAATTATATTTTAGTGAATTCTTAGAATTATCTCTCTAGTGTACACAATGTTGTTGAATGTTAATTGATTGACTGCTACTAATTTGTTTTAGATTACAATTGCCATACTGTGTCTTACGTGTGTATTATGCCAGAAATCCACAGTGGCAGAGTGTGTAAGTATATATACGAAATCAACATGGTCAAGTAATGTTTTATGTAAAGTATTTTCTCAGGATATTAAGTACAGCAATATTCTATGCGTTATTTACAAATGTGTTCTCTGTAACCGAGTTTTACAGTAGATATTTCTTTCTATTTCAAGTGTGAATATACCCGCAGTCAATTTTTACGTTGCTTTGTTCAGATCATTATTTCAAAATAACTTTAACATTAATCAGTGGTAATAATGAGTCGAGACTTTCAATTTCATATTGTACACTCTAATGTCCCTTTATAGGATCCTCCTTGTAAGGCTGGGACAGAGACGTGTGTCCGACTCTCCAGATGTAAAGGGAAGAAATGTAACATGTGTGCAGGTGAGTGAAAACTTTGAGAAAAAAAAATATTTTTTTTTACTTAAGTTGAATAACAATCCTTGTTGCAAAGTACTAGCTAAAAAGACACATTAACTTGCATCCATGGAATGGCTGAGATGAATGCATTTATTCTCTGAAACAATGCGATACAAATGATTACTAAAAAAAATCCATCTACGATTTTATCCCAGCTTTATACAAAGCATAGACATTACTTATTCGATAAATATATTCTTTGTATTTTTAAAATCTGAGAGTTATAGTTTGCAATTACATTTAGACGTATAGCTACAATGTTGTACTAAAGTACAGTTACCAATCATGTTGAAATGTATGATGTTTCAATATGCTTTTCGCAGAATTTTGCTAACATTAGTGTATTCAATCCTTTGGCGTTTTGTTCAAACCCAAGTTCTAGCATTCATTACAAAAAATCTAATATTTTAAACATAAAATGTCTATGACATATTAAAGTGACGCTAATGTAGTTATCAAATTTATCAAAATATATTTTGCTAAAATACAGTTGGGCTTCGTTTTTTTTAGAGACGCCTAGCATACAAACTGCCAAACCTGCAAGTGTGCAACTTCCTGGATTCGGGGATTTACAAAAACAGCAGCTACAAATGTTGCTGCAAGCTAAAATGTTGCAGCAACAACAGGGTAAAGCCACTGCAGCAACAGATTCGGTTTTTACGGAGACTGTGACGCAGCCTCCTGCTGATTGGTCATCCATGTTTGCCGGAAATACAGCAAACACCGGAAATACGGGTACTGAAATCTTTCAAAGAGTTTTTTTGCTTCCTTCATTTTTTTTTCAAATATTCTTGCACAATCAATTTTTTTTATTGATATGCCAAAAATTATATTTCAGGTTCAAATTCTTTCACTGTGAACGATTACTTGTAAGTAAAATATCTAATTTTTTTTTCAATATTGCTGTAATTGTAGGTTATTGGTGGAGAATATCTATCACCAATGCTGAACATCATTTAGTTTAACTATAATTCTACTAATCTATTTATGTTTTAGTTTATCGGGTTACCTTTTTGACGGATTTGGCATGGGATTTATGGCTTAAGGAAGAAAAACCCAACGACATCTGCATCAACTCTTTCATTTCTTTCACACATTCATTAATATTGTCACCACAATTTCATAGATGATGAATAACAAATAAAATATGGCTTACTTCATCAGTTTCTATTTTCAATTGAAACTATATGTTCCATTATAGAATCAGTACCTGTTTCAGAAATGTCTTAAACCATTTCACCGTACATGATGTATTTAAGCTTTTTTTTAAAGTTAGTAAGTTCTTCAATGTTCGAGAGGATTTGGGAGTGATAAGTAACTCTGTGCCTTATCAGTCTGGGCAATATAATTTGCTGTTGACAATTACTTGGGATATATTTCCGCCACAATGGTGACTATATATATTTACATTTTCTTGGCCCTGGGAAATGTTTGTGGTGAGACAACGTTATTGTTTTGTAAAACTTACATATACAGAGCCTAAAAAACTTCCAAGGACAATTTGTTTTCCTTTAAAATTTGTAATCGGCGTAGCATCGTATGGCATCGTATAAAAAAAAGCCATAATATCATTCCACATGAATTTTTATTTAATATATAAGGTATACAATTACACTATTTTGTGTAAAAGTGCAAACAAAAGGATGTTAATCTATAATGATTCGCAAATGGCAATATATAAATTATAAAGAAATGTGAAGCAATATTATAATCAGTGAACGAAGGCACCTGGCGTTAGTTATTTTTCTTTTAATAAGAAAAGTACACCACTACCTAATACATGTACTTTGGCCATAACATGTTAATTATGTATTGTTTGTAGATCTTTCATTGGTATCAACAACCTTGACCTTTTGACATTGTGATTTACGTACTTATGAAAAAACATTTTTTATTTCATTAAAACATTTTAAAGAAAAATGAAGTAATATCACCTTGGTGTCTGTGTATTCCTTGTTGCAAGACATTTCATTGAATTTGATTTACATACTTATGAAAAAACTTTAACCTTGTAAAAAATTCATGACCTTGGAGTTTTAACTACTTTTAAAAAAAACTTTAACTTTGGTCACACTTTTTATTACTTAAAAACATTGGATATCAACAACTTTGACCTTTTGACCTTGACCATTTACCAGAAATACTTCACATATGTAAAGATTTGAAGTTGACCTACTTTACGTTAACTTTGGCCATAACTTTTTAACGGTATAAGGGTTTTCATCCTTCAAAAAAATCAACTTCAATGATAATTTCTATGAAATGACATATGATAATGAATTTTGTTCTTTTAATAAGAAAAACTTCATGTGAATTATTAGGTAGGGTGTGTATTTTTTATTTCATTAAAACATTTTAAAGAAAAATAAGTAATATCAGGTGTCTGTGCCAGTGAATTTGTGTAAAAAATTCTCACTTTTTATTACTTAAAAACGTCATAAGAAATATTCCAAAGATTTGAATGTGGATACTACCTTTGAAATTTTGAAAATTAGATTCAAAACCGTTCTCGAAAGATGAAATCCTTGGTCGAAGAATGTTACAGCGGCAAGTACGACAGACTTCCGGGACGTCTTCGTCCTCCTCAGGTACTATAACAACACTGTGCAGCCATTTAGAACTACCCCCAGTTCTTAATAAACATTTTGTGATTTGAATTTTAGACATAATTTCTATACAGTATCAACAGATTTGTGAAAGCACATCACGTATTCCACCATGCTATTAATCTGGGGAACAATTCTAAATGTCTTAGAACTACCTGTATCTCATTTCATAGTTGTTATTGACCGTCAAATTTAGAATTTGTACACTTAATTCATATAAACGATTCAGCTAATTTTTCTTACAGGATCTTTCACGTCCCTTGCTAGCGGTGGGTTCAGTCCTGGTACTCTAACAGGAAGTGGGACTGGATCACTGGGTGCTATGAGCTTCAATCCAAATCAATTCAATTCAATGATGACACAATCCTCAAGTGGTTTCTCTAGCGGGTCTTTTGGCAATTTCGGTTCTGGAAATAATATGGGCTCTGGATTTGGTTCATCTGGAAGCGGAAGCTTTGGTTTTGGGGGTTCGTCTGGAACTGGATCATCAGGTTCATTTGGATCCGGATCTTCATCAACGGGCTCAGGTTTTAATGCAGGATCCTTTGGGGGTTCTGGAGCACCGTCGGGATTCGGAATGGGATCAAGTTCTGGATCTGCTAGTGGATCCAGTTCACCGTCCGCAACAAATATGGGATCAGGTTCGTCTGGTAGTAACGGATTTAATGTTGGAAGCTTCGGAATGGGAACGACTTCTTCAAATACATCTTCTAGTGGATCTGGAATGGGAAGTTCTAGCAGTTTTGGTATGGGGTCATCCTCTTTCGGTGGTGGATCAAGTGGATTTGGTATGGGCTCTGCAGCGTCGACTGGGTCAACGAATGGATTTGGAAGCTCTGGATCTTCAGCCACAGGATCTGGATTTGGAACTTCATCTACATCCCAAGGGTCAACAAACGGTTTTGGAATGGGAAGTGGGTCAATGTCATCCAGTTCTGGTTTTGGATCAGAGTCTGGATTCGGATCATCATCTTTATCAGGTGGAAGCTCTGGAACAGGTTCATTATCTTCAGGATTTGGTTCATCTTCAGGAAACACTACATTAAGCAAAACTCCAACCTCTTATTCAACTAGCAATGGGCCTGGTACAGGAAATGGTCGCTTTGATTACAGTAATAATTTTGGAAGTCAGAGTGCCTCTACAGGATTCGATGCCTTTAGTAGCAATGCTTTGAACAAACCGGGTAGTGGATTTATTAGACCAAGTCTACTGGATGCCAGTTTTGGCTCAGGAATGCCAAAGGGCGGTAGTTTTGCTGATGGAATTAAGGGTTACAACACCGCTGCATCTGTACCAGGGGGTTCTGGAGTAAGTGGAAGTAGTGCAACGGGTGGAAGCACAGGTGTATCCTCTAGTGTAGTAAGCAGTGCAGGGAGTAAACTTGGTATTTCCGGCTCGGGAGCCACTGTAGGGGCAAACAAAGGAGATGATGGATCAACGCTCAATGGTTTTGTCGGAAGTTTTACAGGAAATAATCTAGGTAATGTCTCAAATGTTGGAGGATTTTCTCCATCAAGTTCAGGAAATAGCGGAGCAGTTGCTTCGGGAGGAGGCGCTAGTGGCACAGCAGGCGGAAGTGCTGCTTCTTTTGGAAACAGCGGAAGTGGCTCAGCTCTTGGGTTTGGCAGTAGTGGGTCCACTGGTTCTGGTTCAGGAGGATTTAATGGTGGTTCGAGTGGATTTGGGTCTGGGGGGATTGGAGGAAGTTCAAATAGTAGTTCTGGGACAGGGGGATTTGGTGGTAGTGGTTTTGGGTCCGGAGGATTTGGAGGAAGCGCAAGTGGAACAAGTTCTGGTGGATTTGGGTCTGGTGGATTTGGTGGAAGTAGCTCGGGTGGCTTCGGATCCGGAGGTTTTGGTGGTAGTTCTAGTTCCACAAACTCAGGTGGTTTTGGATCCGATGGGTTCGGAGGAAGCTCAAGTGGTAGTGGTTCAGGTGGGTCTGGGTCTGGTGGTTTTGGTGGCACAACCTCAGGTGGTTTTGGATCAGGTAGTTTCGGTGGAAGCTCAACTGGAAGTGGTTCGGGTGGCTTTGGATCCGGGAGTTTTGGTGGCAGCTCAAGTGGCACCAGCTCAGGTGGGTTTGGTTCGGGTGGTTTTGGTGGAAGCAGTTCAACGGCATTTGGTGGAAGTGGGGGCGGTTCTAAAAACGGATTTGGATCAAACACCGGGGGTTTTGAACAGGGAAGCGGCTTTTCCTATACAGATGGTTCGATGAGTAAAGGGGTACACGACACACACGCCGGTGGCGGTCCTGTGTAATCAGTTAACAGTGACCAGATAAATGTTTAAAGAACTTATCGGGTTTTTTTGGTAATATTTTCTTTCAAAAGGTGTACATATTTATTCCTTTTATAAAATTGATAAAATGTTCATTTCTTTGTCATTTATATTTTTACAAGATCGTCTCTTATTTGTTTAGAGTTTGTTTACAGATAACACAACCCCTTTCCAAAAATTTATTGACCCGAATATCATTTCCATAATCCGGGTTTGGTACAAGTATTATCTGAATTACATTGATTAACTTTGACAAGGATGCGTGGTAGCGTTTAATTCATACAAATATTGATAAGTAACTATCAAACATGTCACCTATGTTTATCACTACGTCTCCATTTTCTTCACCAGCTATTCTGGTTCCAGTTTAAACAGAATTTTAATGGGGTATTGAAATTCATTGTGATGTCAGTAAACTTTTAGTAAAACATTTTTTTTTCTAACCATTATATTGCATAAAATAGAATACTGTAAAAGTGGTTATTTACACTGGTTGTTAAGTACGCGTTTGTGACTGTCAAACATTACGCGTGGGTATAATATACGCGGTCGCACAAGTTACCGAGAAAAATTTACGCGGCCATCGATATCATAACCGAAATAGGGTTGTTCCCCTTTAAAAATGAAAAAAAAAATTACAAACAACCTAACAACATAACCTCAATAAGAATTTATACTGTTTTTACTGTTGGATTAGTAAATATATTGTCAATGTAAACAGTCAAATGCGGTGAAGTGTGACGACTGGTGTATGCTATATTGTAATTATTAACGCAAGCTCAAACTTCAAAGTGAAATCTACTTACCTGTATCTGCGTGTCGAGTTCTTACAATTAATTTAATAGGTATGATTGTAGTGACTATGAGTTTATTTAACATTTTGGACTAATCATTTGAAATTAAGAAAGCTATAAACGAATATACAAAGGGAATGAAAATAAGTATCGATGTTATGAAGCTTTTTATTGCTTGATGTTGCTTTAAAATATTTAATTAGAAGATGCGTTTTTCATCGCACAAGTAACATAATAAACAATTACGTTTTCATCACATTTTGTGATATATTTGTCTGTTCACGTGCGTCGAATACCACGATAAATATACGACTGGTTCAACCCGTCTAACAGTATAAGTAATAATGTAGGATTGAAATTTTGTGACCATACGCGCGGGGGTATTTTACGCGGTTTTTAGCTTACCGCGTAAGTAGTGTAAATTTCCCCCATGCGTAAATAACCACTTTTACAGTACGTTGGCAGATGAATTCTTGTGATTTAGTCAGTTATCGAATTTGAAACTCAGATATGGTGCAAAAAAAAAAACGAATAAAAATGAAAATTATATAAATACATGTATATAACAAAAAAGTTTGTAAAAATGCATTATCACCTCCTCTATAATAGTGTTTAATTTAATTTGTTATTACATGTATATGTATACCGTATTATGAAAAATCTAAATAAGAAGTAGGTATGGACAATTGAAAACAGAAATTGAAAACAATTTATGTGGTACTCAAAAGCACAGTAGGTTTGACCGGTCCGTCAGAAGGATGCCACATAAACTACTTTTGAGGTGTGTTGATAATATTTTAAATTCATGTTTTTGTTTAGCGATATCCTATCGTAATCAGATTGTGCAATTAAACATAAAAATTAAATAAAAATATTTTTTTACATACATTTCTTATAGTTTCAATGTTAATCAAATCATCAAACCAGTTTATAAGACGGACCAAGCTTACATCACTCAACATCAACCACATCTGCAATATTCAAATCCATTTCTCAGAAAAATACACAAAAAAGACAAGTACTAACCATATCTCTAAATACTTGAACATGAAATTGGCATGTTTGTTTGTTTACTCAGTGTTGTATCATCACCAAACACTACCATCATACCATGGTGGGTGTAAGTCACACGAAGGTATTTAGAAGGATAGTCTCTTAATATGATAACACGGAGAGCTGAATCTTTTTTTCCTCGTATCATTAGAAAAATTATTTGTAGCGTTTCTTTATGTTAACGTTTATAACATATTTATCATATAAAATAATATAATAGAATAATACCATGTCCTTAGATATTGTATAATTTATTAAATAAATTCATGTATTCAATACAAATAATATATGTTTACGTACATGTAGCATGTAAAGAAAAAAGAAGAAAAGTTTGGTTAAACCTTGCAGCATATACTGAATGTAGCTGCAGATCTGTAGCTCTCCGAAAAAAATATATATTGATAGACCGGAGAGCTACAGTGCCACCCATTGAAAAAACTGTATATTTATTGCGCACAAAAAAGTGCGCTCGATTTTTGATTAATTCTTCCAAATTCTTACCTCAATTGCAAAAAATGGAAGATTTCAAAAATTTCCTCTCTCCTCTATCAAGTTTTGTCGTAGTTGACATTTGAACGAAGCATATTGGACCGAATTATCTTTGAAACCAAAATGGCAGTATAGATAAGCAAAATGTTCGATGATTGCAATATCAGGGCCAGGAGGACTATTAACAACAATTATGAGGAATGTTTTGTTGTGGAAAGAGTCAAAGAATATGTTAAGAACACACGGTTAGTAATATTTTGAGATTACAGTTTTAAAAACATGGAGAAATAAATCGAGAACCGAGTGCATTTTTTTGTGCGCAATAAATATACAGTTTTTTCAATGGGTGGCTCTGTAGCTCTCCGGTTTATCAATATTTTTTTCCGGAGAGCTACAGATCTGCAGCTAATACTGAATGCTGTTTTGGAACTGACAACTTTGGCGATAATGAGGATCCCGCGAAAGCCCAGATCAATATCGTGCTGAGAGTTAAGGTCATACGCAACGTAGTTTGAACTTTATTGGGTTCTTCCCTGGAGTTGAAGAGTTCCACTAAATGAAGGACCTATGTGCAATACTTTTAATGTCTATATATGGATTTGTACACCTTTTCTTAAACAAATTTTGATGAAAAAAAAACTGGAATTTATGTTTTGTAATTTTTGTACATTTTTCTTTGAATAATGCAAAAATTTTCATAATTTCATATGATCTTTTCAAAACCCCTGGTAGCTGCAGATCTGTAGCTCTCCGAAAAAAATATATATTGATAGACCGGAGAGCTACAGAGCCACCCATTGAAAAAACTGTATATTTATTGCGCACAAAAAAATGCGCTCGGTTCTCGATTTATTTCTCCATGTTTTTAAAACTGTAATCTCAAAATATTACTAACCGTGTGTTCTTAACATATTCTTTGACTCTTTCCACAACAAAACATTCCTCATAATTGTTGTTAATAGTCCTCCTGGCCCTGATATTGCAATCATCGAACATTTTGCTTATTTATACTGCCATTTTGGTTTCAAAGATAATTCGGTCCAATATGCTTCGTTCAAATGTCAACTACGACAAAACTTGATAGAGGAGAGAGGAAATTTTTTAAATCTTCCATTTTATGCAATTGAGGTAAGAATTTGGAAGAATTAATCAACAACCTAGCGCACTTTTTTGTGCGCAATAAATATACAGTTTTTTCAATGGGTGGCACTGTAGCTCTCCGGTCTATCAATATTTTTTCCGGAGAGCTACAGATCTGCAGCTAAACCCCTGGTAACGCATTCTGATTTTTTGTCTAAGAACATATAATGGTATTACAAGTTTAAATATAGAATATCTTGAAAAATTATCAGTAGGTAAGGTACCTTGCGTATGTCCTTAACAAGAATTCTTTTCGAACACTGAATACAATAAATGAAAAAGGATAACTGAATCTCCTATTTGGTAAGTCCGTGAAACTTTTGAATTTTTACAATCAAAAACAAAATAATTAGTTAGGTACATATACATCAGCCTATATCTATCTGTGGATATGTAATGATATAGATCAGGGTAGATTAGGTGCAGATAAAATGCGTTTCCCGTCCAACCTTTGCTCACTCGTTTAGGTGATAACAGTACCTGGTCGTACCTTCTTACTGGGGCTCATCCTCGTGATTTTAGTTTGGCAACCAAGCCCCTCTTCATTTTCATTTTATAATTTTACGGATAACTTTTTAAAGGAACGTCAAATGAAAGTAACTCCGATGTCTTTCAGTCTGTGTGCCTGAAGAAGACACTTCGACAGGGGGACTTGTGAATACTCACCAAGAATCTCGAATTAATATTTCATATTGTATAATAATGACTTTTCCAAGAAACTTGACTAATTTTTTAACAGTTAGCTGTTTGGTGCTGCTATGCCTCCTTCATGCCTCAGCAGGTAAGTGGTACACTATGAACAAGTAACATTTCACATGTAAGAATGGGGGGTTTCTTCGATTTTAACGATTTTTACTTTTCGATGGGAAATGGTATTTGCAGAGGTATAATTCAACAGGGGTTCTTAGGTTTCCCCCTCGTCTGTCTGAGGGTCAGAGGGTGTCCCTCTATCTGTCTGTCAGTCTTGGTTTTTCTCCACTTAAAAAAAATGGTTGTAGATAGTCATTCACTTGCAAAGACTATATTTTACAACAAGCATTCTAATGGAGATTTTTAAAAAAATGAAGTATTATTGTAAAATAATTGAAATGTTCGAAACAAATCAATGCTAAAGATAAAATATTTCATTAAGAAAGTTGAGTCTCAATATGTACAGATCGAGGACCCGAGGAATATTTGAGGTAAAAAAAGGAACCTTTAAAGCAGAATAAGATTTGATGAATTTCATCTCCCGTCATATAAATAGCTACCTCTTTTCATGAAAATTGAGTATTATTTTAGTATTATACCTCCGAATCAGCTATCTAGCGATATGAATATTTTTAAAGGTTTATATAAGCAAATATGACACTCCATCCTTCATTTTATACCATATACTCAGCCAGTAAACCATATTACTTGTGGTACTGTAAATCTTCCATTTGTACCTCCATGGTCGACAACTAGACATTATTAATATTCTATCATATAACGAATATTTTTATGTCATTTTAAATGTGATCATACTGAAATAATTGTATACCCCCCTCCCCGACCCACGATTGGTGAATAAACATATATAAACTGTCATGTCATATGCATGTATAGCGGACCACCAAATTAAACTCTAAAAAATAAAATTTAGAATTCGATATTTACAAAGTATTTAGTCATTAAAATTTATAAAAATCATTTAATTTCACTTTATAACGGGATTTACGTTTATTATCAGTCACACCCTCTACCTGCAAAGGTCAAGTTACTAGTATCACATTCATGAGTTATCATTGACCGCAGAAACAAAAATCTAGGTTAAAAATTTAAACCGTCAATATTAGAATACTTTGAAAAATTAGATAGATAAATGTTTTGTTCAAAATTTTCAGTGTTAACTTCCACTTTTTAGATAGACTTTGTACAGATACATCACAATATTATGAACACCTGTAAAAAGTACTAAAAACTAAAGTATCATAAATTTCAGTCCCATCGTTGGTGAAACTACAAACTTTTAAATAAATTGTTAAATTAAACATCCAAGAATTTTTTCCCATACATACGTATATTTTTCGTTTTGCAGTTTTATGCTTTGAACAAAAAGAACTGAAAAATGATGAAGAAATATTCACACAACAATTCAAAAGTTATTTTTTGTTAGACATCACCAACTTCTTGTTTATATTATTACTTTGCAAAATATATATTATAAGTACTTTAAATTATTTTAATTATTACTTTTTTTTTACTCGTAGTTATGTCCTCAGTATTCTTATTTTTATCGCATATCCGGATTGACCCATTGATAAGGATCATATCACACATGTATATACATGACATAGATGTCTGATTCTAATCAGTAACGTATACCAGGTCAATCACTCAGGCCATCACATTCTTAGTTTATTCATAATGACCAGAATTCGTATTAAACCAATGGTTATATCAGGAACGTAGCATCGTTATTAAAAGGGGAGGGGCGGTCTATCTTTAATCTTCTTCAGTGGTGGATCCAGGAATCTTGAAATGGGGTGGGGGCAGATTGGGGTCGGGTAGGGGCCCACAGCCACACCAACAAAAATTGATACATTAAATCTTTATATGCATATTTTGGACACAAAATGAATGGGAGGGGGCTCTAAATCCACCAGTGTTCTTTCAGTTATCAAATACACTATTACTACATTAGTAATATTACGCTTTTTTGACTATCCTGCAACAAAAGGAAACCGGCCTTTCAATAGTAAAAAAATTCTGTTTTGAAAAAAAATGTGTGTTGGGGGTGCGCCCTCCCGTTTAAATTTCTTTTCTGAAAATTTGTTTGTACTATCACAGCCACGTATCCGGAAAATGTTATTCTCTATGTAAATATTCTCTCTTTTCCTTACCGATGCCTATTTCCTAGTTTAATAATTGCGGGGAAAACCAAATCTGAAATCAAGTTGTTTGGTAAAAGGTTACTGTAGGTAAATATTTTTTGAAGCTTTAGTGTGAACTCTTATCATTCACACTGAAGGAGAGTGCTTATGAGTTATGGATGTAAATATTGAATAGGAATATGGGAGTCACTGTTCGGGCTACGAGTCTCGAATTTTCTCAGGAATTTGATATGCTTCGTCGCTAACCTGAAGTCTGTGACTATCACTATAAAACTTTCGTTCTTACCTTTAAAAGGTTTAAATCCAGCAAAATATAATGGTTTTGATTTTTCATAGAAATATTCCATTCGTTTGAACCTCCATGCAATGCTGAGGAGTTCTTATCCAGCAAGTCTACTTCGTACAGTGGTTCATTAGCATGATTAGTAGAACGAAGTATTTGAAGCAAACGTTTGTAAGTGATCCTCAGCCAGCACCACTCATCTTTACGTTTGTTTCAAAACTCATGCACTTCAAGCAAGCGGATATATATTTTTTTATACACCACATTTCTTGCTTCCCAAATATTGTATTAAAACCAGAGACATAATTGTATGGTTTTTATATGTCCTTGATTAAAACGTTTAGATTTTAAACTCAAATTAATATGTACCACACATGTACATGTATCATCATCATGTGTATATGTTATATTTGTGCATCAGTGGTATATCTAGTACAAAGAAACATAATAATTACATACATTACACAAAACACAAGTTTCAAGATTATCTCCCTTGGTGAGTTGGTGTGTTCTTGCATTACTGAGGGGAGTAAGCAGGCACGGGGGACAGTTACTTTTATATTGGATGCATTACATCATCGATATACCAACATTACTTATTGTATAGATCTATGCACTCTTCAACTTGAAAATTACTGAATTAAAGTTGAGGCTCCTATGTTTTTTTTACAAAGAAAATATCAGAATAAAAGAAAATAGAAGTGGATAAGAACTTATCAAAAGATTGAAGAGATATGGATCTCTAATAAAACCCCACGCATCTAATCATTGTACGTCAGCATTCTGAGGGACAATTTCTCTAATAATTAGGGATGAGTACGTGTATTGCCAAAATTTTCGTATCGCGATATATCGCAATTTTTTCCCGAAATATCATAATAATATCATGATATTTTTTACAAGCAATTTTTATGATGATTATAAATGAATATTCATTATTAAAAACATGCTAGAAAAACAAATTTTCACTTTTTTGAAATTTTTATGTACATTATATTAGACATGTTTGGATGAAAAGACGCTGTATTTTTACCTTTTTCAACATTTTTAAAACTTTCTGTACTTGTAATTTGAAAGATTGAACAAATAAATAAATAATTTCTGGATCTAAGTCTGCGTATCACGCAATAAAAAATCACGATATACCGGTGTACCAGTAAAATCTCACATCCCTTCTAATAAAAGCTTCAAAGAACTTTATACAAAAGGTTTGTACAATCAAAAAAGTATTTTCTTAAAAGACTGAAAATATTGGCATTTTCAAGTGTCCTAATTAAAAGTAAATTTTGTAAATATGTATAGTTAAAACCATCAAAATTATCATTTCTTAGCATTTTTTATATCATCTATCTGTAACATGAAATGAATTTTAAAAGCCATAACCATGCTTCATTTATTTAAGCACATTTGTATACAGAAATGGCCACTTTCATGCTGATACATGAATGAATACTTTTTGTGCCTTTATCGTAGGCCAGTTACATTCTTGAAATTGGATTATTAAGTACATTGTACCTCTAGTGTAATTCATTAACCTAGCCTTGTGTATTTACTGCCATGGCCAAAGTAATTTACAGTGTTTTAAAATAATTTTTTTAATTTAGTTTTTTTCTTTATTTCAGCTCAAACCATTCGATTAAGAAGCTCAACGGGAGGGGTTGGCGGTTATAGAGGTAGGGTAGAGATTCTACACAATAACACCTGGGGAACGATCTGTGATGATCATTTCGACAGAAATGCCGCTGTGGTGGTGTGTAAAATGTTGCGATTGTACACAAGGTAAGAGAAATTGATGTTGAAAACATCGTATATACATGTAAAATGATCTAATTTTTAAATTCTGTGCATGCAGAGTGATATTTATCAATTGTTATGCTAAATGCTAATGAAAATAGCAAGAACTTATGATTTATAACTTAAATATCTTGAATATTTTCAATGAATTGATTTTGAAGTTCCATGCAACCACTTTTTTCAAGTAATCAACCTCCTAAGTCCTCCTTAACTAGTTTAAATTTATTTTTCTCAGCCCATCATGTTTGAGGTAACAAGATTTTACTGTAGATGTTTACTCCAGTTAAACTGGTTTGTATATCATTTTCAGTAACAGTTTTGTGGTGGCCAGATCCTCGGCTTATTTTGGCCAGGGAACGGGCCCAATTTGGTTGGATGACGTGACATGTCTGGGCACTGAGAACTCTCTACTGAACTGTCAGCTCAAACCGTGGGGCGTGCAGAACTGTGATCACAGGGAAGATGTCGGAGTGGACTGTAATGCAGGTAAAACATCTTAACCTTTATTAATTAATTTTTTTTACAGAGAAAATATTCACAGTATCTTAAATCTTTATCCTATTGATTGATATCCATTGATTTACTTGTTTACATTGGACAGATATTGGAGAATTCGAGAAATAGTTTGATATTTCTATAATCTCTTTATAACTTATGATATAAACTCAAAATAAAAGATACCCTAGCTCCTGCATGATTTTGATTTCAACTTTTCAAATTTCCTTTTGTTTGTATTGATAAATGTTTCTATCACTAACATGTAGTCATTTGTAATTCCTGGTATTACAACAGCTCAGGTTGCCAATATCCCTTTACGAGTGGTGAACGGCTCTAGTGTTAACGCTTACAGCGGCCGAGTAGAAATCCAAGTCAACAACACGTGGGGTACTATCTGTGATGATGAATGGAACGACAAGTCAGCCAGGGTTGTCTGTAACAATCTGGGGCAACAAAGGTTAATATAGATAGAATGTTTTCTTCAAAGTTTCATTGCAAAATTTTGTGCCTTAATTATATCTTTAAAAAATTATTTCTCTATAAAAATGCCTCCTTGCTATTTTTACCCAACTGTGTATCATTCAATTTTACTGTTTAACTTCATGCTGTCGGTCATTATGTGACTATGATCTGATTTTTTGAATCATCACACTGTGGTTTTGTGGATTCATTTCACCATTTGTGTAACATAAATTGTGTAAATAATTTTTAGCGCCACTGCCGTGCCTGTTGGAAATGCCCTCTTTGGTTCAGGACCAGGTCCCATTTTATTGGATGATGTGAAGTGTTTAGGTAACGAGACGGGACTTGGAGCTTGTGATCACAAACCTTTCGGAACCAATAACTGTGACCACTCAGAAGATGCTGGGGTTCTCTGTCTTACTGGCCGTAAGTATTTTACCAAATGATATGCAATGTAAAAATTAAAAGATATGAAGATAAATAATTTATGATAGATATAATTTTTATGTGTATAAAAATTTTTGCATTTCCATCCAAAATTTCAAGGGAAGATTTTGGGAAGATTGTAAAAAAATCTTTTTCTCTTTAATTATGAATTATTTAATTGAATTTTAAATTAATGAAAAATATTGAGAGAAAAAAAATATGTGTCAGCTTCATAGAGTCCAGTAGCCCAGTTATTATCTTTACAAAAAAAATGGTATTAAATTATACCAAATAGCGCTAACAATTGTCATTTGATGATGTCTCTGAGATGTAAAAGGTGATATTTTTATTCCAGCATCAAACGTACAATTAAGGCTCGCTGGGGGACTTAATAAAAATCAAGGCAGAGTAGAAATCCAGGTTTTTGGAATCTGGGGAACTGTTTGTGATGATAGTTTTGACAGAAGGGAGGCCAACGTAATTTGTCGTCAGCTTGGATTCCCAAGGTATGTCAATGATCTTAACCATGTTGACTGTAGGATTGGATATTTATGAGTGCTTTTTATTTGGCAAATTGTGTGCATGTGGGTTATTTCACAGATACAGTAATAAAAGATATGGAAATACTGAAAAGATATGGAAAATAACGAAAGTACATTCAACTCATGGTAGCATGGTCTTATTTTTTTTCATTGAAACAATACTTGTAATTTGTGTGTATTACCAATAAACATGTGAGAAATGATCCTCACTTGAATTAAATAAAACCCAAAACATCACTCTTTAATGACTATGAAACATATTACATAGTAATTTTGATAAACAGGGGAGGAACAGTATTGAGGGGGTCGACCTTTGGAGGGGGGAGGGGCCCCATATGGATGGATGACCTTGAGTGCAATGGAAACGAGACCGCCATACAGACATGCACCCGCAAACCCTGGGGGGTCAACAACTGTGGACACGATGAAGATGTTGCTATTTCCTGTACCCCAAGTAAGGAAGACTAAATTTCATTGGGTTAAATTCAAATGTATAAGCTACAATATTTTGGACACTTCGTATGTGTCAGGTATGTAATAAAGGTCTAGGCTTTGTAAAGTATTACTAAATACTATAATTTGTAAAAAGAAAAAAAATAATAATAAATCTGACAAAGTATTTGCATTAAATCAATTTAGGCAAGATATAAAATGCTACATACATGTGAAGTTTCATTAAATTCAATGTACCGTCAATACATTTTCTATCATGTTACAGCCAATGTTCCTCCCATTCAAATTCGACTGGCGGGGGGTCCCACCAACAGAGAAGGTCGAGTGGAGATCCAGTACAATAATCAGTGGGGGACAGTTTGTGATGACCTGTGGTCTAATGCTGATGCTGCTGTTGCCTGCAGGATGCTGAATTTACCATTGTAAGTGTTTTCATGTATAGTAGTTGAACTTCATTATCTAGAACACTGATGTCTCATCATTTCAAATTTATGGATAATTCAACATTTTTTTTCTTAGTCCTATTGAGATCAAGAGAATGAAGTTTGACTCTACTTTATTTGGAAATTGCATTGACACTTCTAAAGTCATTTCCCAGTAAGAAAAATTTTCTTTAACCCTAAAATATTTGTTTGATCAAAATAATTTTTATTGAAACCTAGCTCTGGTGCAGTGGGAGTTGTAAAGGCTGCGTATGGTCCCGGGTCGGGTCAGGTCCTGATGGACGACGTCAAGTGTGTGGGGACAGAGACCACCCTGGCTAACTGTAACTTCCCAGGGTTTGGACAGAACAACTGTGATCACACCGAAGATGCCGGAGTCATCTGTCAAGACAGTAAGTCATTCTATAAAGAAGAGATTCAGTATTAGGGCCCAACCATGTAAAGTTTTAGTCAGTTATGAAGAAATTGCAAGAAAATCTCAGATAAGAGGGAGTTTCACGAATCCCTGAAAGACTGAATACTGTAGATCACTTAATATTCACGACATCTTATTTTCAAGAGATTGCCATCAACTCTGCGAGACAAAATTTTCACGAATTGTTGTTTTGCACTATATAATCAAGAATGCTATCATATGTGAGAATGAAATTTTCAAATCCAGGCAAAATATTTTAGGTTTAACTTTAATTCTTTTGTGAACTTTTCAGCTACGGTTCAGATGCAGATTCGACTGGTAGATGCCAATGGACAGACAGGGGGATATCAGGGGCGTCTTGAGGTCAACATTAACAACACCTGGGGAACTGTGTGTGATGATTCTTTTGGAACTCCCGAGGCTCAAGTTGTCTGTAAACAATTGGGCTTGAATTCGTAAGCAGAAGACCTATAAAGGATGATGTGACATAACTGCTATCTGGGGCCCCTTTTTCCATGACGAATTATATTTAATCTACAACGATGTTGGTAGTTTTCAAACATGAGTGAATAAATACGATGCCTTTTGAATAGTTTCAATAGTTCAGACACATTTTAATTATAAGGAATACTGCATTATCTTTGATTTTTTAGATATCACAGCTAAATTCGGCCAGGTTTGTGCGAATATTTTCTTTTGCGGCAAGGGAATGGGCGGGAGTACAATAGAAGGATATGCGTGTCCGAGAACACCTTATATGGCTATTGTTATTGTTTCGCACTTAGTCATTGTCCAATCCGATAACAGAACAACAAAACATGCTGGTTTACTACGTTTCCATATTATCGCAGACACGTGGTTTAGGTCAATTTACCTGTTATCCTTTTCTACATTTCAAACTTTTATAATGGTCATCCAATGCTGTTTATACTTAATGATATGCATGAATTTTCAGCATTTACGGTTTTTAGGACAAGAAATGCACATGAAACTTGTATTCACCGATACTCGGGAATACGTGTAGACCTAGCGAATTGCTAACCAAACACGCTACAAAACTTCAAACTATTGTATATCATGTATATTCTATCAATTGTTTGTAACTGTATATAAATTTTACTGTGGTCTCGGAAATGATACATATGTAGATCCGTGTCTAATCTGTGACTCAAATGCATAAAAAAAAATATCGGAAAGCAGTAAAATTCCAAGCACGTTTCCATAGTATTTTTGTGGTACTCACTCGTAACGAATTTCATTTATCAGTTAGGGAGTATCGCCAGTGCCTCGATTAGCATATGAATTCATTCTCAGAAAATCTAAATCCGTCCATCTGTTCATAATGGGAAAAGCCAGCTAGATTTTACAATTTTTTAAAAAATAGCATGTGAGCGCAGTTAGGTACAATTTTCTCCTTTCACATATAGGTAGATTTCAATAAAATACAGTGACCAGCCAAAGGAGAAAATTGTACCTACCTGCGCTCGTATATTTTAAGGGCTTCAAAGATTGGGGCGGGGTTAAAATGCAATGGGAATTGAATGTTAACATGATACCCCTACCCCAATAAAAGATCTATATCTTTCAAATTACGTTTCTATTTTTGTTAAAAATAGTATTTTATAAAGGTACACACATCAGTGATTAGTTACATACAAAAATTTGAGTAAAATTTAGACATTTAATTTTTTGTCAATATACGAGGGGCCGCAAGTCACCTCATCCTTTATTATTTATAAATTTTAAAAAGTGTTTTTGTTGTAACAAATTACATTGGATGAAATAGAAGTGGTTTGTGCTTTTTTCCTAATTTATAGAGAAAATTATAAAAATTGGATGTTTTACAAGCAAATAATTTACTAATGAAGAAATACATGTACTTCTAAGTAAACTGATAGAGAAGCATGATTTTTTTTTCTTAAGGAAGCTCTAAACACCAACATAAACTGCTTTTTGGACTTAGAGAAAAATTAATCATATAAAGGTGTGCATATTGAGACTTTTTCATTCACTTATAACATAGGGTACCTGCCTTATTTCACAGGAAAAATGTTCAAAGACAATGGACTATTTATGAACAGAAATTACTGTTGTTTACTTACACTGGGTAATTTAATGGAAATAATGAATTCAATTTCTTATTCTTGGTCCAATATAATGTTTTGAATATTTTAAGTCAACACAAATTGTGTGATTAATTGTAAATGACCATTTTTTCTATCCTAATTCTAAGGGCAGATCACTCTAATGACATAAAACTACCCTACAAATGGAGCTCTTTGGTGTGCAGTGTTTAGAGCTTCCTTAAGTTTATAATCGTACAAATAGGACCTACATGTATAACCTAAGAAAATACTCTTCCACCCTATGTATCTGTTATGTATATACTCTGATATTTCAGGGCAAATGCTACAGCTAAGGGTAGTGCCTTCTTTGGACAAGGAACAGGTCAGATTTTCCTAGATGATGTAAACTGTGCTGGGACAGAGAAAGGTATTCAGTTCTGTGGACACAGAGGGTACGGACATAACAACTGTGACCATTCTGAAGATGTGTCTGTCATCTGTAAAGGTGAGAGGTCAATCTTTGTCTTCAAAACATAAATAAAAAATGGAGGAATGTTTTACTGATAAAGAGGAAGAATGCTGTACATGTACATTACAAGCATGTACTTATCTCTCTGTGCATCAGAAAACACATGGGGCCATCAGAAGTACCATGTATTGCTTAATTTACCTGTATTTTTATGATTCTATATCTAGCATTTATTATTCATTTATAAATACATGTACCATACAAAGCACAGAAATGTGTAGCACTAATTCATGATTACGCCAACAACTCCATACTCAGTGATTGCGCTAAATTTTGAATACGCCATTTTTTGTGTACGTACAGTAGATCTAGTCTCATGAAAAATATTCTCAATCTAATGTGAACAAAATGTGGTTGAATAAATATTGATTCCATTTTGATTTCATTGGTTGATGTTTAATTCTTGACTGCTTTCTTTTGTAGCTGGTATTGTACAGCCAACCAGGGCTAGATTGGTGGGGGGAACCACACAGAATGAAGGTCGATTAGAGGTCTACCACCAGGGGGCTTGGGGAACGGTCTGTGACGATTACTTTGACACCATTGCTGCTCAAGTTGCATGTAAAATGATGGGACTGCCATGGTGAGGATCTTATTTGCAGACTAAAAAAGTTCATGAAGTTAATAAGTAAACAGAATGTTTTATTCAAGTGCATTAATTAGATGATATGCACATCGGGTTAAAATGCAACTGAGTTAAGTTAATTTTGTTTCATTATCAAAAGACAGTGAATTGAATTTGAAAGGTATTGATATTTAAGGCAAGGAGCCCAGCCAAGACCCAAAGCATTCTTTGGAGCCGGAACGGGCCAGATTTTGTTGGACAATGTTATCTGTAGAGGAAACGAAACCAATATTCAGTTCTGTAGACATCGACCGTGGGGGACCTCTAACTGTCGACACAACGAAGATGTGGGCGTGGTCTGTGGATCTCGTAAGTTAAAAAATCTTCTTCTTTTTTTTTTAAATATCAGTTCAGCATGAGACTTACAAAATGTAAACACAAAGACTAATGTAAGTGTATTTATTTGGCCAATTTGATGAAGTTTGGGGAAGATCAGATTAAACATATATGAATATATGAATGTCTTAGATACAGATACACATGCATTTAAAAGACATTTAGTGATGTACTGGCTTTAGCATAGGGTACCATTTATAAAAGATCCTAAATATAATATAAGTAGTCATATGTAATATGCAAACTGTAAGTGATATTTTTTCCCTTTTAAAGTGACCAGAGTACCAGTTCGCCTCGTGAATGGTACCTCCACAGCCAATGGACGACTTGAGATTTTCTATAACAACACATGGGGAACTGTGTGTGATGATTCTTTCAGTAATAATGCAGCAGCTGTAGTCTGTAATATGCTAGGTTTCCAGAGGTAATAAAATTTGATCAGGAAAAAGTAATCTTAATTATACAAATATAAAGATGATAAAAGAAATTACTGAAAGTAAACACTGTATATATTTTGAAATATATATGTTGTGTAATTCTCGTTTGTAGACCTATTAGTATGTTAATGTACTAGTGTGGACATCAATTTTTTATAGGGGGCGTAGTACAGCTGTATCTAATGCTAGATATGGACAAGGACCAGGACCCATTCTATTGGACGATGTCATCTGTAAAGGGACGGAGACCAGTATCTTACAGTGTCGAAGCAAAGGATGGTACACTAACAACTGTGATCATACAGAGGACGTGGGAGTTATTTGTAATACAGGTAAACATTGAGGCAGGTGGTCTCATTGCTTGATGGGAAAAATTTTTAAGTACATGTGGCACAGATCATAGTCTATAATTCTTTGTTTAAGATCTGCCAAAAAAAAATTCCATACACTCTATTAGAAGTAGAAATGATGTTATGAAATTTACCTCTTTATTTAATATAAAATTTTGGTTCATGTATACAGCTAATTGTACCTAACAGTAATTCAATTTTAAAATAACATTAAAATACCATTAATTTAACTTTATATATTTACGTGGTTTAAAATCTGTGATTGGAGGGAACAATTGTAAACATGCTCTATCTTTGGTTGAACAAGATGGAAAAACCTCAATATAAACCTCCCAGAACTTCTTTTTGAGGTGAACTCATTTTGAAGTTCACCCTAGGAAACGGAGTCTAGACCAGTCAGAGGGCATAGATATGCCTGATCATTTAATAATATAGACTATATCTGAATTTACTATCTGCATAGGTCAGCCAAGATTACGTTTGGTAAATGGAGGCAGCAGATACAAAGGAAGAGTGGAAATCAACATTGCTGGAATGTGGGGCACAATATGTGATGACAAGTTTGATTCTAATGCAGCTAAAGTTGTGTGCAAGACTTTGGGCCTTCCATAGTGAGTACATAAAATTATCCTTTCCTGAAATGTTACTTCTTTCGTAAAGTAAGAAATGTATTTTTAGTCATAAATTGGTATCATTTTTTAAAAAATATCATCATTATCAAAAAATTTATTTATACCGTGTGACCTTCAAAGTGAACTGCAATTTTTGCGATTAAAGAACAGATGCCTACATGTAAATTAATTTCATGATCAAAGCTTCTATTTAACATGGGATGTTTTCCTGCATTTAGTCAGAATGCCCTGCCTGCCACTGCAGCTGCCTTTGGACAAGGCACAGGAAACATCCTACTGGATAATGTTGTGTGTCAAGGCAACGAATCCTCCATATTGGATTGTCGGACAAATCCAGTCGGCACCAATGACTGTGAGCACTCAGAGGATGTCGGTGTCATTTGTCAGAATAGTAAGTGAAAAAAAAAGTTGGGGAAAAAATTGTATTTACTTTATTTTCTCAAGGGTATCGAGGCATTATCGGTATAAAGAAAAATTATAGCAAAATACAGTTGAGCTTTTAAATCTCAAAATCTCAAACTCTGATTTCTTGAATACCATGGCATGGATATATCAAAGTGATTTGAGAGTCCCCCTTACTTATTCTTGAAGCAATATATTTCTTACCTCCAATATCTGCTTTTCTTGGTCCCATCCAATTTAAGATAACAAGGTTTGAATGTGTGTTTCACTTTTGTAGCACCACAGAATAACAATGTACGTGTAAGACTGACAGGGGGTCCATCAAATCAGGAGGGTCTTCTTCAGGTGAACTATGCAGGCCAGTGGGGAACTGTGTGTGATGATGACTTCACTAATAATGCAGCTAAAGTTGTGTGTAATTCCCTAGGGTTGTCATAGTAAGTAGTTGTAGCATATGCTCAAAAATATCTCTCTTCATATACAATGGAATCAGTTTATTTAGTGGGAGTCAGTGTTTATGGGCACCAAAGTATCATGTTCCTGGGAGCATATTTCTGTTGTTTTCTCATTCATACAGAAGATGATGAACTGGTATCAAAGTTAACATTCTTGGGGATGTACATGTAATTTTTTTTTACACTGTAAAGGTGACATCCATGAACACTGGTCCTGCAGAAACATTGATTCCACAGTACCGGGTAGTTGTTACAGTGGAGCCTCATTTTTCCGGAAGCTTTGGTCTTTGTCAATTTGTCCAGATATGTGAAGCATCCAGATATCTGAATTACCAGTTAAACAAGAACAAATGACATTAAAAAATTTTGTTTTGAGGAAATGTCCAGATACTGAAGCATCTGGATATCTGGCGTCCAGATATCTGAGGGTCCACTGTACTTAAATTCTGTAAACTTTTATTTTTTTTTTGTGCTGAAAGGAAAAAAGGTAATACTTGATAGATATCAAATTTTCATTTTGAGTAAGTTTTCTTGTAGTCAGATAAAACTTCTGTCTTGCAGTATAAAGGCTGTGGCTGTACCTGCAGCTACCTACAAATCATCCAACACAAACTACGGTCCTATTTGGTTGGACGGTACCAACTGTACAGGTACAGAGTCTTCTATTGGACTGTGTGGACACAACCCGTGGGGGACAAATGACTGTGACCACACGGAGGATATTGGAGTGGCCTGTCAAACCAGTAAGTGACTATACAGACAAGACAGTAACAATTTTCTATAAATATAATTGTATTCCAACGCCAAAGACACCAAGAGAATGGGCACCACAATTTCCTGAATTTGCTTGTTTAGATAACGGGTATTCAAAGTCACCATTTCAATGTACAATATATTATAAGATCCATTTTCTTACAAATTTTGTTGGGTCAAATTTTTGAGGTTTGAGAGAAAAACTTTGCTTTGATTTTGTGGATGAGGAATTGCTATGTTTAAATTTATTTGAAATTTAACATTTCCTAAAGGACATAAATTCATAGTCCTCTTCATACCCAAAAAAAAAAACCCAAACCAAATAAAACAAAGAAAAATCCCCCCCCCCCCAAAAAAAAATAGTGACAAAGGAGATTCTAAAATTATGCTTTTTTTATCACAAAAGAAGAAGAGATTTATTCAGATTGTACTTTATTTCAGCTGTTAATTATCACATAACATATTGGACTTTACATGTATCTGTTTGAATTTGCAGCTCAGATGCTGAGTATGCAGGTCCGTCTTGTGAATGGCACCAGTAACAGTGGCAGAGTGGAGGTCTACCATAACAATCAGTGGGGAACTATCTGTGATGACGGATTCGGAATTCAGGAAGCCACTGTTGTCTGCAGGTCACTGGGAAAACCCACGTAAGAATCTTATAAGCTGAATTCTTAGCGTTATAATGCGTGATTGGTAACTACCGGGTATTACATACTCTGTTTCAAAATATGTATGTTTTTATACTGTTAAGTATGCCAAACAGAAATAAAATTATATGAAATAAAATACGTGTACATCTGTTACTGAAGAAATTTTTATGATTTCTTCTCCCTTGAGTCTTACATCCTTGCAACAATGGTTTGGTACTACATGTTTATATAACTTGTACAAGTAATAAGTCTGACCTTATGATATTGTATGTACAGTGGTGTGGTGGTTCCTTTGGCTAATTCTTACTATGGAGCCGGTTCTGGTAGTATCTGGATAGATGATATTGACTGTGCTGGAAATGAGACCAACCTTGGAGCCTGCAGCCACAAGCCCTGGGGGGTCAACGACTGTGACCATACTGAGGATGCCTCCGTCATGTGCCTGAGTGAGTACTGAATATGCATGCTTTGTTAAATTTCGGTATCACAAACACCATATCTTGAATACCATGGAAATGTCAATGTGATTTTGAAGTCCCAACCACTTATTATTAATGTATTTTACCCATTATATAATGAATCCTCAGATATCTTAAGTATTTTTCTCAGTCCCTTTGAGTTTGAGATATCGAGGTTGGACACTAGCTCAAAGAAAATTATGGGCCTAATAATTTAAAAATATTGAAAAAGATGTAATAGGCATGATGAATGAGTTACAAATTAATATTGTATAGTAGTCATAAGACACTTTTAAAAAAAAATCTTTTTTCATTTTAACTGAATTGGTTTTCATAATATATGCACATACATATAATTACAGGTACTAATCCTAATCCCCCTCCTGTGACGGTGAGGCTGGTGGGGGGACTGACCCGCAGTCAGGGGAGGGTACAGGTCCGATATAACGGGATTTACGGTACCATTTGTGATGACTCCTGGGACGACAGAGACGCCCAGGTGGTCTGTAATATGCTGGGCTACAGTGCAAGGTATCTCCATTAGTCATTATTTATTGAATTGAATATTAATTAAAGATAAAAGACTTTTTTTTTAGGATTTTGGCATTTAGGTTTGCATTAAAGTAAAAAATGTAGAAATGAATTTCAAACTGTTGCAATGAAATAAAAATATCTTCTCAATATTTTCAATTCTTTAACATGAGAGAGCATTGTTTTATTACATTTGTGATAATCTAATTTTTATTTTAATACGATAATCTTACTTGTCTTCAGAGGAGCACGTGCCATCAATCGTATAGGAACAGGAAGTGGCCCGATCTGGATGGACGACGTAGAGTGTGTAGGGACAGAGACTAACATTGGACAGTGTACATTTAAGGGCTGGGGAGAAAACAACTGTGACCATTCAGAAGATGCAGGAGTCGTATGTGTAGACTGTATGTGAATTCCATACTGTTAAGTATTCACAGAATATTGGCTTAAAAGTTTTTTTAAAAAATTCAATTTATCTGTTTTTACATAAATTTAATCGATATACTCTAGATTCTTAAATGTACCAGAGGAATTATGTGTAATTTCGCAAGAAGGACCTATTACTCACTTTTATTTTTATGGTGATCAACCATCTTTTCATGAGTCAATGTTCTCAATTTTTGACTTCTAAGAGCCATTTCTTGATATTAAGTATTTATGTAAAATAAGGAATCTACAGAACATAAAAGCAGAGTCAAAACTTTCCTTTTAATTTCCTTGATAGCTTCTGTGCAGGCTCTCAGGGTTCGCCTGGTGGGGGGACCCTCTACCATGGAGGGGAGAGTGGAGGTGAATTATGCCGGGACCTGGGGAACTGTGTGTGATGACCACTGGTCTAATGCTGATGCTCAGGTTGTCTGCAGAATGTTGGGTTTCTCCACGTAAGCTAATTTTCCACATGTAAATATAAAAAAAAATTAAAATAAACTTTAAAACAATGAAATAGTCATTCACCTACTTTATATCTAATGAACCAATATTAGAGATAAATTATCCCAGATAAACAAGTTAAGAAAAAACTTATGAAATTTGTTTTTGTAGGGATGGTGCCACAGCCTATTCTAGGGCCAGATACGGACAGGGCTCACCCAATCAGAAGATTATCCTGGATGATGTAGGCTGTATTGGAACTGAGACAAACCTTGGACAGTGTAACTATACAGGGCTGGGTCTAAGTAACTGTGACCACACAGAGGATGCTGGTGTCAGGTGTTATCCAGGTAAATTATTGTATACAGGGTTTTTTTTGGTCCTTTCACACATGCAAACAATTTTGTCCTGTCTTAAATTTGCCTGATCACACCTTTGTGTAAGAAATTGTACGGTATTCTTTTAATTCGCCCCGTTTTAAATTTGCCCAACAAAGGTTAGGGCAAAATGAAATGGGGGCAAAGGTTAGGGCAAAAATAAAACGGGGGCAAAAATTTCCCTGTATACACTAACATCTATTGAGTCAAGTTCCATGTGTATTTACATGAGTTAACACTCTAATTAACACTATACATGTACTAGTGTTATCCAATATAAATATTTATGTTTGATTTCATTCATATGTATTGAAATAAATTCATATTTATGATTTTAGCTGGACATGTGGTCACCAATAACATTCAGATTCGTTTACGAGGTGGCAGTAACAACCAGACGGAAGGACGTGTAGAGATTTTCTATAACAACACCTGGGGAACTGTCTGTGATGATTACTTTGGATCACAGGAAGCAGCCGTCATCTGTAGCATGCTGGGACAATCTCCGTAAGATAATTTAAAAAAATAATATCAATATTTATGCAAAAAGTTATGCATGTAAGTGAAAAAGAAGTAAATATTTTTATGTAAGTCTTCAACAAAGATTAAAGCCGAATATTTTTGACTGCTTTTATTAGTAATGGTTGATTTTTCTCATATTCTTTTCATTGTTAGCAACCCTCATTTAGGACATGTATGTGTACTGAGTATCGCCCTCTGTGGTAGTCGGGGCTGGGGAGTGAACAACTGTAGACACACCGAGGATGCTGGAGTGGTCTGTGCAGGTAAAAATAGGATTGTATATAATCATTCATGAGAAATGTAGAAAGCAATTTGATCCACTAATGTATTTTCCAATGAGAAGTGGAAATAATGCATTACCTCCAGTAGAGGATGCTGGAGTGGTCTGTGCAGGTACAAAATAGGATTGTGAAAATGTTTTCTTTGGCCAGAAAGCAATTTGAACTAATGTATTTTCCAATGAGAAGTGGAAATAATGCAACTGTAGAGGAAATGCAGGTACAAAATAGGATTGTGAAAATGTTTGATCAACTTGTCAAATAGAGAAATGTAGAAAGCAATTTGATCCACTAATGTATTTTCCAATGAGAAGTGGAAATAATGCATTACCTCCAGTAGAGGATGCTGGAGTGGTCTGTGCAGGTACAAAATAGGATTGTGAAAATGTTTGATCAACTTGTCAAATAGAGAAATGTAGAAAGCAATTTGATCCACTAATGTTTTTTCCAATGAGAAGTGGAAATAATGCATATTACCTCTAGTAAATGTAACATTTGCATGTAAATTATTTATTTCCATTCATGTTAGACTTCTAAATATACATGTAGCTGACATAGCTGATATAGATCAACAACAAATGTCAAGTTGAATTATTATAGGTAGTCAAAGTTTCTGGTAAAAATTGATTTAAAAAATTCGAAATTTGTAAATATAGGTAGACAGAGTGTGACTCCTGTGCGATTGGTGGGTGGATCTAACAGATATGAGGGGAGAGTAGAGGTATTTCACTCTGGACAATGGGGCACAGTTTGTGATGATGTGGCAAACTATCATGTGGCTCAGGTTATCTGTAACCAGCTAGGATTCCCAAGGTAAGTTGTGTTAGATCTGTGTAAAATTTCACACAGAAATGTCATATGAAATATTGTCTATATGCAAATTATTTTTCAAAGAAAAAATACACATTATTTCAGCTATATTACAGGATGGAACTGCCTTATAACTTGACAATTTTATAATGAATATTTGCCCATCCCTCCCTGTTAAGAGTTATTTCTCTTATCAAAGGGTCAATGAACCTTGAAGAAATGTGAAAGAGGAAACTTCAAATTCATGTACTGTTGAAAGCTTGTGATTTAATATTCTAATTTAATATAGACACTTGCACAAGTTTCCATGGCATAAAAATTTACCCCTAGTTTCCAATGTAAATGTTTAAAAGTTGAGTATTTCCTTGTAGTACAACTGCCGCAGTTAAAGGCTCCGCCTACTTTGGGGCAGGCAGGGGTCAGATCTGGATGGATGACCTCCACTGTGATGGAACTGAGCTCTCATTGGACAATTGTGGCTTCAGACCTTGGGGAACCAATAACTGTGGTCACAATGAAGATCTGAGTGTCATTTGTACTGGTTAGTATTATACTATTTTAATTGATTGATATAGTGCATGTACATCCATGTAACAGATATGCAGGGAATTTTGTTTTATGTGTTAATTAAAAAATTAAATAAGAGAATAAATGTTTTTGTTCTATTACCTGGATATGAAAAATATCTACATGTAATTTTTAAAACAAGATTTTTTACAGTGGAGCTTTAAACATTTTTTCACCGTGTTTCAGCTCCTACCGTCCCACTTCGTTTAGTGGATCCTAACGGAAATCCCAATCAGGGCCGAGTGGAAATTCGAGTCAACGGAACCTGGGGTACTGTGTGTGACGACATGTTTGATTCCAAAGCTGCAGGTGTTGTGTGTGCCATGGCAGGATTTAGCAGGTAACAGTCTGGGAAACAAGTACTTCATAAACTTGTACTTTATATTATACAGTCAAACTTTGTTATCTCCAACTCAAAATTAAACTCAGATAAAACTTTGATAAAACTTTGAGATATCTGAGAGTATAATCTGAGATACCTAGGGTAAAATACATGTACACATAGGGAAAAGTGATCAAATTAAGAATTCACAACTGACATATTCATAGTATTGGAGATATCAGTGTTTTAGATGCCCAAATTCAACTGTATTTTGAGAAAAAAAAATGATAAGGTGTAGCAACTAGAAATAACCTAATTTATGTAAGGATAATTTTGTGAGCTTACTAGAGCAGTGTCTTTGAAATGTCATGTCTTCTAATGTCATGTCTTTAATACTATTGACTACTATAGAACTGGAGCTGTTGCTAAGACAAGGTCCTTCTTTGGGAGGGGTGCAGGACAGATCCTCCTGGATGATGTACACTGTTCAGGGTCAGAGAAGACCATCCTCCAGTGTTCCTCCAAACCCCTGGGGACCAACAACTGTGACCACGACGAAGATGTGGGCGTCATCTGTAATGCTGGTATGGGTTTACCTACTGCAGGTTTCGTCTAATGCATTGTTCTGATAAGATTTCTTATTAGATGTTTTAAATGTTAAATAATTATCAAATAACCCACCTCCAATGCTTTAGTAAAACGATATGATTTTTTTGTTTTTTCTTTGACCTTGAAGTTATTGAGTCATTCTAAACATTAAATTTTATAAAACTAAGCTTACATCAGTTATGTTGACTGTTTCTCTTTAAAGAATACAGAGACTATTATTTACTTGAAAATAACAATAATTTTTATAAAAATTGACACATTCAATCTAAGTACCTGTAAATTAAAGAGATATTTCAAGTAATGCCTTTGGTTTGGACCATGACCTTTTGTGTCCTCAAGGAATAAGCAGAATTATGTGTATTTTTCTTCGTTTGTCTGTAGTGAGCCTGCCTGTTCGGTTAGTGGGAGGGACCGCTAACAGCGGCCGTGTAGAGATCCAGTATAACAACACCTGGGGAACCGTCTGTGATGATTACTGGACTTCAACAGGCATCAAGAATGCTCAAGTTGTTTGTAAAATGCTCGGAAAACCATAGTATGTACACATTAATTTTTGGACAATTTGGTTTTAAACCTTTTGTAAAAGATGCTCTTTAGAGAATACCTAGTTTATAGTTGCATTTTCATCAAGTGTACTTGGAGTGTTAAGTTTTTTCTTCTTTATTGTAAAATTAGCGAAATAAACATGTACACTTGTTCAAGCTATTGTCAATCCATGTGTAATAATTGTTTTTACATCCCAAAGAGGAGATTACTGTGTATCAATACAAAGCTAAAAATCTCCATGTGAAAGCTGACATCATATACATGTATATTACCTGTGTTTCAGCTCCAATGCCTATGCCCTAAGTAGAGCCTATTTTGGACAAGGCACAGGAACGATCTGGTTGGACGATTTGAAATGTCGAGGTAATGAGTCCAGCATCGATTCCTGTCCTCATAGACCGTACGGCAGTAACAACTGTAGACACACAGAGGACGTAGGAGTTGTCTGTACTGACAGTAAGTTATCACTTCAATGTTTAGTCATTTAGAGGAAAAGTATCAGTTTGGCTTATACATTTACATGTATTATTTTGATGTGAGAAAAACTTTTGATTCCATTTTGTAAGTATATTAATTGATTTCAAAAGCAGCAGTCCTCAAATAAAAAAGAAGATTGTTATTGTTCTGTCTTGATTACTCTTGGTCAATTGGACAAAGTTGAAGACAATCGAATCTAAGGTTTTCACTGCCTATGCTAGGATTGTAAAAATCTTACTTTTACACTAAACACAAATGATGCTCAATATTTGTTAGTTTAATAAGGTTGCAAAAATCAGGGATATTTCTGGCTTGCAAATAAAAGTCTGTATACATTTTATATATTCCTTTTGTTATAGCTCCTAGATCCACCACTCCAAGACCCGGCCGTGTCACCACAACCCTACCCACCCCCGCCCCAGGAACCACCTTCATCCGACTGGTCAACGGTCAGGATGCCTATCAGGGCAGGGTGGAGGTTTATGCCTTCGGTCAGTGGGGAACCATCTGTGATGATGCCTTCACCAATCAGAATGCTGGTGTACTGTGTCAGATGCTGGGTTACAGCAGGTTTGTGGAGGAAAATTTGAAAAAAATCTGTGATTTCTAATTTAATAATTACAAGGAATATATGTTCTGTGTATAGAAATTGCCCACGGGGAAAAGTGGATGTATTTTGTCTTCTGTTGCCCTCAGCTTTTTACCATTAGGCTTCACGGCCTTAAAACTTGGATGAGTTCACTTTCCATCTCAGTGTTACTTTTGCAAAAAGGATTATATGCTGGATTAGTGAGACTGAGATCAAAAGTGAGCTTGTTTAAGTATTATGGCCCTAGAGCAAGATTGACACCGAATTTTCACTAGCTGACCTTTGCTCTCTTTTTGTAGAACTGGTGCATCCTATAGGGGTGCAGGATCATTTGGAGCAGGCACTGGTAAAATCTGGTTGGACAACGTTAATTGTACAGGAGGAGAGGGCTCTATAACTCAGTGTCGCTCCAATGGCTGGGGGGCCCACAACTGCGGACACAATGAAGATGTGGGCATCATATGTTCTCCTAGTAAGTGATAATTCATTGTGTATTATAACATTAGTTATAGAATCATCAATCCTTGTGCTATACTAGAAGTTTATGTGTTTTGGACATTATTCAGCTTGTTTGAAATGTAATGAGGCCAAGTACCTAAGTAACTGGTTTGATATAAGAATGGTTCATCAAAAGTCAAAAAAAGGGGCATTTATGCATGTACATATAGCTTTTAGTGATTATAAAATTAAATTATGATTCACTGTACATACATGGCATATATACATTTTATTCCTATTTTTCTTTCTAAAGCAACATACCCTGACTACTTCTTGTTGATGACTGATACTAAAAATAGAAGCATATACAGGATGGACTTGAATTCCTACAGTTATGAAACCCTTCCACTTCATAACCATGACAACCCCATCTCTATCGACTTTGATTCTCTGAATCAGCAAATCTATTGGACAGATGTCGGATCCAATCAAATCAGATCTGCTGGAATTACAGGAAGTAACGAGAAGGTCGTCCGCCAGCTGGGAAACAGTAAGGAGAATTTAAAATTTTAAATTAGAGACTGATATTCCTTCAGATACACTAATAACAGATGTTTTTAAAAACATTTTAAGAATACAGTTTGTTTATAAAGTTTTATGATTAAACATTTAACATTTCTTTGAGCTCTAGACCATATTTCTATTTCCCTCATGTTGAATATAGCTTCATTAAATATTCTATGATTTCAATGAGGACTCTAAAGATTTTTGGCCAGACAGCTTGAATGTACAGCACGATTAGTATATAACTAACAAGTAGACATTTATTGCCTTTACAGAAGCTACTCCTGATGGTATATCTGTGGACTCCGTGTCTCGCCTCGTCTTCTACACCGACACCGGTTATAATGTCATCGGTCTCGTAACAATTGATGGTGCTTTCTCTAAAACGATAATTAATAACAACCTGGATGAACCAAGGGCCATAGTGACCAACCCACAAACAGGGTAAGACTGTAGTGACCAACCCACAAACAGGGTAAGATTCTTCATCAGAATTATTACATGTATATGCCTTTTGCTTTTTATGCCTTTAAATGTATACAGTACATGTTAGTCCTTGATAACTGTAGTACAGTAAAAACACTTATATCGAACATGCTTATAATGAATTGAAGCTTATAGTGAAGTTATTTACATTCCCCATGGGTTTTAAACATACAGATACAACGAATTAAATTTACAAAGAAGCAAAATTGCCATCCCCAGCACTTTGTTATAAGCCTGTTTTAATGTTGTTTTAATTTCAGTGTGCTAAGACATGTTTCTAAAAGTACACGTAGATAAGTGAATAGTACAAAGTCTTTTATTTTCTTACAGAGTGTTTTACTGGACGGACTGGGGAACTAATGCCAGGATAGAGAGGGCTAACTACGATGGAAGTGGACGACAGGCCGTAATCACCACTAATATCAAATGGCCTAATGCTCTGGCTATCGATTTCCAAGGTATTCAGAATATATAAGTTATATACAAATTATCCATTCCTGAAAAAAATTCATACAGTATATTGTACTTTTCTCGCATAAAGGGAAATTTCTATTTAAAAATGAACACATGTACAGTATCTGCATCCCCCTACCCCTCCCTTCACCCCACTTCAAAAACATTTTAAAAGCATACATTTAAACCACTGTTTTTCATAATATAAAAAAGACTATTGTAAAAGTGTTAATTATGTTACAGGGAGTAAGATGTACTGGGCGGATGGTAGCACTAAGTTGATAGAGATGTCTAACTTGGACGGTAGTGGCCGTACAACGGTGTCTGACCAGTCGTCTAGCTCCGCCCACTTCTTTGGCCTGGTGCTGTATCAGACCACATTGTATTACACAGACTGGAGCCAGCAGTAAGTAATGGTCAAGGCTTCAGATCCAGTCTTAAATCACTGTAAAATATACTATTAGGTATAAAGCTAAAAAAAATGTGTGGCTGCGATGATTTAAGGGATTGACCCATTCTTCGTTACTGTGTTTGCTAATTTTATGAAGTACATGTAGTTGTTTTAGGAAGTTTAGATGTTTTTTTAAGTAAATTTAAATATAAATTAAATGGGTGTATATTTTTTGGTTTGCAGTTCTGTGATGAAAATTTCCACAACTGGAGGTACCCCTATACCTGTTGGACCAGCAACATTTGGCAGGCTTAATGATTTACACTTCTACAGAAGTGGAGTAGGATTTTCTGGTAAAATAGATTGAGTATAGTGTATCAATATAGAATATGTTATATTTAACACAAGATACACTCTAAATACATGTATATTGAAAATGTGAAAAGAATACCTGCAAAATAATTAATGAAAGGAATATTTTCACAAAAATATGTGATATCAGTTAAAACACAGATTAAGCCTTCTATCTTACACACATAAATGTTTGGAATAACTGTTGAACTTTTATATCTGGAACATCAATATTTGTAATACTATGCATACATACATGTATGTATGTCTAAAAGATTAAGATCAAGTTTGAGATTATGTTTGACTGTGTTTTATAGGAAGCAATGCCTGTACTAGTGGTAAAGGAGGCTGTTCCCACATCTGTCTGCCTGCCCCGGGTAACATCAAGAAATGTGCCTGTCCCGATGGTCTCTCACTACAGCCAAATGGGTTATCTTGTGGAACAGGTAAAACTCATTGTCCAGGAAAAATCTAATTCAAAGACGTCAGTTGGACATCAAAATTATTTTCTCTCCTGTAACCAAGATTATGCCTGTATAAAAAACATGGTATAAAGTCTTCTATGAGGTTCATAAAAGTTCACTTATAATCCAGATTTGTATATACATGTATAAGAGAGTTCTTATTAAGAGGGTTCTACTGTATTGTGATTAATTATGAAGTTAGAATATATTTGATTTGATTCATTTACTTTCAGTTTATACATCTGTGTCAGCATCTTTGATAATTATTATGATTTAATTAATCCACATTTTGTTTGGTTTAATTGACAGCCATCCCCTGCCAGGCACTACAGGCCCCCACCAATGGTATGATAACCCCCTCCACCTGCACCACCTCTTCAGCGGCCCCTAACACTAACTGTACAGTCACCTGTAAGTCAGGCTACTCTCTGTACGGGTCCAGTCAACTCACCTGTAATGCTAACGGTCAGTGGAGCAATGGAGCCTCATTCATCATGTGTCAAGGTTTGTATCAGTGTTTTCTAATTTCTTTTACCAAGATGATAAACAAATGAAAAAAGATTTTGTTTAAGCTTAAGTTTTGATATGCAAACTTTTGTAATTTCAAACAGAATATCTTTAACCCTCATACAGTGTATGAACAATATTGTCTGGATGCTTTCTGTTCAATCTTTTCCTTGGATGAATGTATGAGCTTAGTTTCACAGAAAGGCCTATTGTACTAAAAGTAGCTTGTGACATGACCCGGCGAGTTTTCCTTTGAAGTCAAGCATACTGTAACTGCAATACAGAACACTTTTTGTGGGCGTTTCTTATGAGCAGAAACTGTACTGTATCTGCAAAATATCAACGATACAGTACGGTTTATTTTTAGCGATGATAGAGAGCTGTATCCGTATACAGACATACCAATCTTCAATTCGCCATAGAACTGCATGCATGTTAGTACATATTTACTCAAAAATTGAGGTGAATTATGAATAAAATTTTACAACGTAAAGGTTAGTGTCGGGATTTTAAAAAATTTAGAAAGGAGGGAGTGGGGCAGTTCAAAAATTATTAGTCTGACACCCCCCCCCCCCCCCAAAAAAAAATTCCGTTGGGGTAGATTCACAACTAACCAGCACACTATATGTGCGTCATACCGTTACTTGTTGATGAATTAAAAAACGTATGTATAAATTTAGCAAAAATAATTTACGAAAGCGAAAAAGAAAAAAATCAGAGGGTGGGATGGGGGCACAAGTGAGTGCTGTATCCCCCTTTAGTTACTCTACATTTTAATGAAAACATGAAGGTAAAATACCCCTCCCCCTTGCTTTTATCTGCTTATTTCAGTTTTGTATATGACGACCGGTGGAGGACATTGTCGGAAATTTCTCTCAAAAAATACGATCTCCCTGAAACATTTTTGTTTCAAAAATATTCCCACATGATTCTTATATATCAAAATGTTTTGCATTAAATCGTAGCTTAAACTGAAATTTCCCGAAATTCATAATTATGAAGTTTAACTTTTGAAAATTTGCGTAAACCTTGAATTGTTTGAACAGCGTTGAGAAAGACCAAAAAAAATGTCAGCAAGAGCTAAATAGAGAAAAAAAACCTACGCAATCAAATCTAAATAAAATTTTTGGAAAACAAAATATTTAATGCATCCCCTATATAATTATTTTAAAATGATAGATACCTGCACGTCCACCTCACTCGGCACTTCAGTTGCGAATGCTTAAAATGGGATACAAAATCAACTTTCTGCAAAATCATCTGATTGGTTGGAAGGTATGTACCCATATAGGCATGTAAATTAGTGATGTCAGTAGAAAGGTCATGTCACAAGTCATTTAGAATACTCGTTTCCTACTGTATCAGAGATACAGGGCGGGGCCCGGCTCGAGCTATCGCTCTCGCCTCAAGCCCCGCCCTGTAACTCTGATACAGTAGGAAACTCGTACTCTAAATAATACAAAGTAGACAAATGGAAATCAAGAATTTGAATAAAAACAACTGTTAAAATTTCTTTTTATAATATACAGCATAAACATGTTCAATGTATGCAGTGATATTGGACATTGTTTGTACAATTTAGATACCCAGCCCCCAGTGGTGACCTGCCCAGCCAGTCAGACAGTGACAGCTGACATGGGTAGACAGACAGCTACTGTCAGCTGGACCGTGCCTACTGCCACTGACAACTCTGGTGGTAATGTAGCTGTCCTGCAGGAAGTGACATCACCAGCCGTGCTGGGACCAGGGGCACACGTCATCAAAGCCATCGCCTTCGATTCAGCGGGGAGGTCCAGCTCATGTAGCTTCACAATCACTGTTACTGGTGAGTTAAACAAGAAGTAGATTTAAGTATGATTTAAGTAAACAAGAAGTAGATTGAAGTATGGTTTACGTAAACAAGAAGTAGATTTAAGTATGGTTTAAGTAAACAAGAAATAGATTTAGGTATGGTTTAAGATTAGTCAGGTCAATAAAATTTGCGATAACTATCAGATATAATTAAACAATGAATTTTACTCTTTTCTTTCAAAATATTGAGATACTCTTTTTTTCCATATTAGAATTTTAGTGTAAGGTATTGGTATTTTAAAGAAAATTACTTTCTAGAGAAAGTTTTTTTTAAAACACTTTCTATTTTTACAGTTTTGACCTGTCCTGTTTTGACCCCTCCAACAAACGGTCAGATCATGTCCCTCCAGTGTTCCAGGAACTACGGTTCTACGTGTCGGGTGGGCTGTATCTCAGGATTTAATCTAAAGGGTAGCTCTACAGTCACATGCCAGAAATCAGGAAACGCTGCACAGTGGACACCGGCCACCTCAAGTCTGCAATGTCAAGGTCAGACAAAAAGTCCTCATTTGTAATAGTTGTAAAACCAAAAATAAATTAAAATCTTCATTTGTGGCACATGTAGTAGTAAAAAAGAAAAAAGGATTGAGAGTTTAAACTTTTTTCCCTTTCTTTTGTACTGCCTCAGAATTTTAGAAGTATTCTTTAATTGTTTTTTGAAGAAACTACTGGTTTCACTGTTGTAATTTTTATGAAAGATTCTTTTATCTTATTTCATATTTAACCATATTTTCTACAGCTATAACTTGCCCCAAGATTCCAGTTCCACAGAATGGTCAGATAACAGGTTGCCAGCCCCCGTACAAGGTGGGCACTGTCTGTACCCAGGTGTGTAATGCCTCCTATATCCCCTACGGTAATAACGTCTACAGGATCTGTCGGCCCAACGGTCTGTGGGGTGGATCCATGTTAACCTGTCAAACACCTATGGGTGAGGACTTCATTACTTTCAGCCTTTTTCAAATCATGCTGAGAAATGGCATAAATTGATATGATAAAAGAAAAATATATGGGGAATTACTTTATTAAAATACTATTCTGAGGAAGGAAATAAAATTCACATTTATTTTTTTTCCTTTTTCATGTATAAAGCAATTTTTTTGTTTTGCTTATAAATTGAAAATTTTTGAGAATATGTTACTTTTTACTCTTGAGAGCATGCTCAGAATATGTTGCAGAAAACAGATCTTAATCTAAAAAAAAAAAACAACAAAAATTATTGCAAAATCGACATCTATTATGATAAATGTGTGGATATCTTACAGCATACAATGGTGGGAATGCTGGAAAGATGGTGGGTGGTTCCAATTCAGGAAGTGGTTCCGGTTCGGTGAACAGCAGCGCCATCACGGCGGGAGTGGTGATAGGAGCCGTCCTTATCGTGATTATTCTAGTCGGAGCCTTCCTCTACATTAAACGACAGTAAGGGTCTTTTTCTACATGTGTCTAGTACATGTATTTATAATGGACATAACACAATAATAGTCAAAGAATTGTTAACAACAACAGTCGTAATCTCCAGAATAGATGATTTTAAGTATCAAAAGATCACTATTATTTTTTTATATACATGTATAAATATATTTTTATACCCCCGTCTTAAGACGGGACGTATTATGTTATGTTTAACTGTCCGTCTGTCTGTTAGGTCGTTTCCGGCTCATAACTTAAATACTACTAGGCCTAGGATTATCAAACTTTGTCATCTGATGCATCTTGGGTAGAAGGTGTGTCGTGCACAAAAAGTAGGTCGCTCTGACCTTTAATTAAGAAGTTATAGCCAAATATGGAAAAATCCTTTCCGGCCCATAACTAGAAAACCATAAGACCTACAATCATCAAACTTGGCCAGTTTATGCATCTTAGGTAGAAGGTGTGTCGCGACCTATTTCAAGGTCACTGTGACCTTTAATTTAAGTGATTTTTTTTTAAAAAATGTGTCTTTTTACTATTCATTTACACATCCCAAATAATGTAAGAGTCTTGCACTGTTCTTATTAAAAAAGCGTTAAATCAAGAAAATACTTATTTTTTCTAATCATATACTTGACAGCAATCTATAACAAATATAATGTATGTCAGAGAAATCCTGCCTCTCCCATGAGTGTAATTATCAAGCACTGGTCAAGAAGAATTTTGATAACAGAAAATTGCATGTCAAATTAGAGAGAAATTAATGGGTTTTGAGTGCGAGGAGCCAACTGACAGAGCATTGCTGTTATCTATATCCCTTGAGTATTGGGCAAATGGGTAAGCCTGTTTGATCAAAAATAGCTTTTGTTGACTAGCTTAAGTTTTAAAATGAATTTGATGAAAAGTAATTAAAACTAATTTGATTTGCATAATAGACTAATCTGATATTATGTAATATTATTAATTTAAAAACTAATTTTATGGGGTGGGATGGAATCAGCATGTCCATATGAATTACATATTAAAACCTGTCGGACATTAAATCTCAACCAAAAAAAAAAAAATCTGAGTATTTTATATGTTTTTTAAAAAAAATTATAGTAGATAGTGCAGACCCATTCATCTCTTGGTAGTAAAGAGTAGACAAGCATTCAGTTAAAGATTAATTAATGAGTTCAATGTTGGAAGCCTAGCTGTCTCAGTCGCTCTGATTAAGCTGTACCCTTTGGGGGTTAGACAGAGGAACTGTTGGTCATTTGATGGCCAGCCTTTTCTTTTCAAAGTTAATTTGGTATAGATTAAGTTGTTAAGACTAATTTGATGATGGGCATTTGACAAGGTCTAACACAACCAGCACAGAAATCTATCGGTGATTTATTATAATTGATGCCTACATCACAGGGAATGGATAAATATTTTAAGGAATGGAAAAATCATCAAAATCTTAGAATCAAGGTTGATGTGATTTTCTTGCACCTAAACTGTTCAAGAAAATTGTGTAATTTTTTGACGGGCGTATCATGCTGTGGCGCGGCACTTTATTTTAATCATACATTTTGCATTGTTTTTTCAGGCAGTTTGCAAGTTCTAATTCAAATAGATCATATGAATTGGGAGGTATGTCTAATCCCAATTATGCCAGTGCAGAGACATGAAAATAGAGAACAATCTAAATTGTGACTTTCATTGAAGAATAGCATTGAGTTGTGCAATACTCTATGACTTTACTTAGTATAATTGTTTTTTTTTTTACCAACTTGTTGCAGTTTCATTTCATTCATATTTCATTTGTGAGTAAATACATTAATCATTGTTATTTAATAGAAATAATCCATTTATCATCTGTAATGAATGCATGATTGTTCAACACAAATACTCATTTGACTCTAAGATACTCATGTAAAGAAATATCTAAAAGTGTTTATTCAATAAATACTAACACAGTTTTTGTGTTTTTGGTGATATACATGTACGATATGCCATGATGTCATGTTACAGTGTATTGTGCTACATAAAGAAATGCAAGAAGAATGTTTAATGTCCAAAAAGTTTTTTTTTTCTTTCTTGGACCGTAAATGTCAAAATTTAATTCGTAAAATCTTTTTTTAAGGTATTCAATCCCTAATGGGAACAAATTCAGTGAAATTGAATACATAACTGACATGTAGGCATTGAATACTCAGTTTATTTAGACATATTTCCCATTTATTACCATTAGTATGTATATTGGGATGTGTCCTAATTTATGACCTTGAGTTTTGGTGAGAGTTATCTCCCCCTTTTTTGATCAATAAAAAAAATCAATTAAAAAAAATTTAGCCGGTAAAAAATTGTTTTCAATTGCCATTCTATTTTTAATGTTTCAATGCATCTTTCCACCGCAGGATTTATTGATATTCAAATTATTTAAATCTTTATGTTGAAAAAAACGTTTTCCCCATAGACTTCAATGCAATCTTTGTTAATTAACTACTGCTTAATTAATAACATTTTTAAAACTTTCTCGCGGGCAATCCTTTTCCGCTATAAAATGCTTTAATATAATATCAGTGTATTATGTACATGACGGACATTTAAGGGTAGGGAATTAGGTCCCATTAGGGATGGAAATCCTTAACTAGAAAATGTAGTGTTACAAGGGGGATAACTCGGTATTCTTTTTCAAGTTGGAAAAAAAGAAAATTGAGTTATTTCCCTTTTCAATGATCAATGCGTCAGTGTTTGACCCAATGCGGCGATACCTAATAAATTAAGATTAATTTTTTGGGTCCAAACATAGTAACACGACATCTGAGTCTGTAGATATGCATTCACTGTCTACAAAACATCTTACCCGGTTCAATATTTGCATGGTTATGCATCACATATAAACTGCATATCTGTTATGTTTACAGGTACATGTACAATTGTACATGTAATGACAAAAAAAATTAATTCTTTGTTTAACATCCCCAGGCAAGTGTTTTGTCTTTAAGCAAAAGTTCCCCAATTTTCAACAATTTTTTTCCCCAAAGAATTGGACAACTGTATCCTTTAAAAGTGCATTTATCACGCCAATTGAACGTCTTATCAGTATTTTTCCAATTTATTTTAATGAATAAAAGCTCACCATTATTCTCTTTCTCATATGAATAGGAATTTAACACCACAAATACTTCTCATCACATATCATGTAATAAGCATTGCCTATAACGAATCAAGGACATATGATTTCGCATCGTTTTAAGCGTAATCTGTAATATCCATTAGCGTCAGTTCGATATAAGCGTGTTCTACTGTAATTAGAATGCAATGTTAAGGACATACGCAAGGTACCTTACCTACTGATAATTTTTCAAGATATTCTTAATTTAAGATTATAAAATGAAAAGATGTTCATAGATAAAAAAATTGCAGTACCGGGGTTTTTTGGAAGATATCAAATTATGAAAATTTTTGCATTATTCAAAGAAAAATATATAAAAATTACAAAACATTATTTCCTGATTTTTTTTCATCAAAATTTGTTTTAGAAGAAGTGTACAAATCCATATAAAGACATTAAAATCTGCACACATCCATTTAGTGGAACTCTTCGATATAAGAACCCAATAAAGTTCAAACTACTACGTTGCATATGACCTTAAGTGTGTTTTAAGTAGAATGCAGTACAAAGATGGATCAGTATTTTTAAAATAGGTCGACACTACACGTATGTCTTGTATTTTTCTTAATAGTAGTTGATATATTTTAAAACATTTTAAAACAAATATTTAAATGTATTTTCTGTATTCCCATCTCCTTTCCTGGCTTCGCCGTGGATCTTCAATCTTAGTATTTCACTGAAAAAAAAAAAAGAAACTCTCATAAGATTATTAGTTGACTAAGACTTTTGTCTGCCCAAACAGTCATTAACTTAAATATAAATGAAAAAAAAATCATGGGAAATGTGAAGAGAATGTTTAAAAAAACTTACTCATAACAAACTACTTAAGACTTAGTACCGAGCGTTAATTATTGTTCCATGCACCGTATACTAGTGACCCAATCCAGAGTGGAGAAAAAAAGTTTCAGCAGCGACATAACGGGGTCCAACTGACTCAGTGGTCACCTCACGATCTGATGATCTAACATTATTGTCTTCATCTCAAATCGGAAATGAGAGATCACCCCAGGCAGGAAATGGCGACATTTTACTTAAGGACTTTATCCGTCATATCTCTTATACACAGTAGAGAGTATAAGATGAGAGATAATGTTGATACTATTGTGTTTGGTGTACCTACCTACTGTTTTATCAACAGGTATGTTTCAGGGGTGGGTGGGGGTAAAAAAAAAAGGGGCGAGAAATCGCGGAATTGGGTATTTTTCAGTGTTTTGATAAAAGTGAAATTTCATAACCCTTGCTTGTTTAGATTTGTGGCATAGTCATGATTTAGTCACACATAGTGAACTTTTATCCTGATCAGTACCTGTTCATAGTCTAACTCTATGTAACCATAAACGTTGACGTCTAGACAAATATAAATAAATTCATATTTTAAAATCAAAGTCAAAAATAATGAATTTAAAAAGTTGAAATTTGTATGTGACTCGTAATTCCCGTGACATTTTCACATTTCAGTAAATTTGGCGTTGAACAGACCGACGACGATGACATCAATCTCCCGTTCTATAATCGACGCCGGCTCGTCTAACGCTGTGGACGGAAATAACGACACGAACATCTTCGCCGGACACTGCACGTTGACGGACTCCACGGGGAACTACCCTAGCACCTGGTGGCGAGTTCGTCTATCCGGAGCTTCCACCGTCAAATCCATAAACATTGTCTCCAGACCTACCTGTAAGGAAATTTTAATTAAATTCCACTATCCCCCCCTCTTAATCCGAATGAAATTCTCCACGCATTGGCATTTAGCGGATAAACTTGTTTCCATTATTTAAAAAAAAACAATTAGCTGTCTAATAAACTTTTTAAAAGAATGGTTAATAGTGGACTACTTTAAAAACCATTTTATCTTTAAAGAATTCGTGTACTCGTACCTCTACCTGGCGAAGCACTTCCACGAAGACAATAACTTTTTACCAATATTGTAAAATTCATAATTTATCAATGATACAGTAACATGACGTCTTTGAAAATCAAAAGAGTTGCAATTCAAAAAGGGTCCAAAGTGGTCAAAACCAGAGAAACTTGGTTTCTACATAGGTGACCTCTTGTTGAAAATTGAAGAACTATTTTCTGTCTTATCCCATTTTTACATTTTCCCTACATTTTAAGTACCTTTCACTGTCTTTTTTTGTTCTCCAAACCCCCCCCCTTTTTTTTTGTTTAAAATACAACATATAATTGTTGAACATACCATTTTTATCTCATTGTTATAAACATTTACAGTTGAAAGTCGTATAGCAGGGATCTCGGTGTACGTTTCCACTGGATCGTTAGCAGATTCGCAGTTCTTTGTCCATCCGTTCGCGTTTTACGATAAAGGGCCATATATTCCAAACTCCAACATCCGTATAAACCTTCCGGAGCCTCTTGTTGGGGACTATGTGACTGTCTACAACAACAGAACGGTCCGTCCCTTACCCCCGGGCTACAGCAACTCGGCGATACTGGAACTCTGCGAGGTTGAGGTCATTGGTGAGTACTTTTATATGGTAGAGTTCCAGAATAAAGGAGTGTTCGAAGATTATATTAGGATACCAGTATATATATTTGTAATGAATTTAATAATGATAGAAATAATTTACCGGTATAAATAATTTTTTTGACATTGTTTAACATACCAGTGAATAATTCACAAATAATTACTTTCTTTCTTTTTTTTGCTAGTAATTAGATTGAAGCGAAATCTAACATTAACTCTTTCTTTTTACCTGAAAGTCTTGTTATGGAGAGAAAGTTTACGTTTATTATTTGATAAGTAAACTATTTAAAAACAAATAGCGAAAAAATATAACATAAATCAAATACTTCTTTCTTTAAGGCTGTCCCCGGGGGTTGTATGGAATCTCTTGTCAGCTCAGCTGTCCCGTAAACTGCCAGGAGGGCACGTGTGACCCTGACACTGGAAGTTGTTACAAAGGGTGTTCTGCTGGATACACGGGGAGTCTTTGTAATGAAAGTAAGCAAAAATAAATCAATGAAATATCAAGAATTCTTTTCAGTTTCTTATACATTTACATTATAAATTTTAGCTTAATAAATCTTTTGAAGGGTCATTATCCATCTGTTCTCTCATATGAAATTTTGCTAATATACATTATTTTTTAAAAGAAATTTAATTTATTGTTGAAAAGGTGCGGGAGTACAATATCAGTATATCAATGAAGGGGCGCAAAAAGCAGAAAACTCGATAATTTTAATAAAAATAATTCTGATTCTGTAGAGAGAGAGAGTGGGGAGGGTGGGGAGATAGAGAGAGAGTTGTCTCTCTTATCAGAGGGTCACTTAACCTTAAATGAGTAAATAAGATTTTCAGTACATAAAACTGTGAATGTTTTCCTCAGATTGTCCACTGGGATACTACGGTCCAGGATGTAGTGTTCGTTGTGGTGCCTGTGGACAGGGGATGCCCTGCGAGCCCCTAAGTGGACGCTGTCCCACGGGCTGCAGACCTGGGTACTCCTCCCCGTACTGCAACCAGAGTAAGTCCACATCGTCAGGGGCCTGTATTTTAACGTTAGTCCTTAGACATTACATATATTTTTTGTACAAAAATTGAAATGCATAGGTTTTTTTAAGGTTGTACATGGGGATTTTATGGAGTCGGTTGTGCACTGAGATGTAGGCCATGTCCAGAAAACCGAACTTGTCACGCCATGACAGGAGAATGTCCGGGGTCACGGTCACTTGGTAACGTATTTAACCTCTTAATTAAAAAAAAAGTATAAGAGAATACTTTTTACTTATCTCTTTACATATCTGGAAGAAACTTTATTACCCCCAACCCCACCCCACCCACCCACCCACCCATCCCCCAAAAAGACGTCCATCATTTTTTTTTTAAAGAAACGTTTCAATTTTATGTAAGTAGTGTTTCCATTGGTAAGAAAATTTGAAAATATTTTTCAATTGACGACGATTTTCAAGTACAGTCAAACATGTATACATGTTCAAGAAAAAATGCTGCCCGCGACAGAACATCAGTCAAGAGCCAGCAGATGTAACTGTATATAACATATTAAATTTTCTTTTTTATACGCTGTAGGGATGCAGGTGAGGGGGCCCGGAGACCCGGTGTTTGACGGTACCGTGGCGGGGATACTGATCCCCCTCTTCCTGGTCATCGTCATTGTCCTGGGCTGTGTGGGCTGGAGAAATAGACACAACCTCGGAGCCGCTAAAGAATGTAAAAACAGAGTGGCAGCGTACGTATACATACATTTTGTTTTTTGTATGGTTATATTTCCTATATCTCTTTGATTCGGATTTTATCCTGACGTTCATGTCTTACTAGACTAAAGATATAGAATTTATGGACATAAACATATTTTTTGTAGATATCTAAGCGAAAAAACGCAGAGTGGATCCCAGTATTTGAGGAAAAAAAGTCGAAAAAGCATCAGCAGAATGACAAAGATGATGAGAAGGGGGCAGTATATACGAAATGTTTCCACCGAAATCACGCCTCCCACCAGAGAACACGCAAGAGGTAAATGAAAGCATAACAGAGCTTTCTAATTCAATCGCATCATTTCGGGTCTTTCCTTTTTTCCGCTAGTTGGAAAGGCCAGAGAAGTTGCGATTGTTGTCGCATTGAGTTGGTAGCCCAGGTTTTTATATAATCTTTTCGAAAAAAATACTCGGATAGTTTTTTCATCTTTTCAACCTCGAGATATTGAAGGTTTGATTACACATTGAAAGTAATTTATTAACCCTCAAAATATTTTTTTATCATTTTAAGGCAAGGAAAATGTCTACATTAATGTAGGAATTGATAAAGTTCCTATAATAACACTAGAAGAGGGTGTGACCGATGAGGAAACGAAAACAAACACAATTGAAAAACCGCCTAGACCGTCAAATCCAAAAGCTAGCGCTCCGTACGAGAACACGATGATACACGAAATCCCCATCTCAGAGCTAGCGTACGTGGTGTCAGAAAACGCCAAAGACAATAATAGACCACTCAAAGATCAATTCAAAGTAAACAATATTTTGTTTTTGGTTGTTTGTTTTTTATCTGCTTTATCATTTTTTTAGCATAGAATATTGTTTAAATATTTAAGGGGTTTTATTCTTAGAAACGACGACATTGTCTTTTCTGGCATTCAGTAATTTGGACTTGTAGAGATTTAGTTATAACCATTGCAAATGCATCAACATTTTTTTACCTTTACCTTTCCTTTAATATTGACCTCACTTATCTTAAATTAGCGTTTAGCTCAGTTTTAAACATACCATTCAAGATTTTTATCAAACTTCATACACTGTTATATACTGATGAGAGCAATTCAACTGCATCAACATTTTTGACCTTGACTTTGACCTCTTTTTTCCTAAATCAGTGTCAAACTTCATATGCTGATACATACTGATGCAAGCAATTCAACTGCATAAACTTTTTTGACCTTGACCTTTTATTTGACCTTGACCTCACTTTTATCAAATTGTGTTTAAGTCAGATTTAATTAAAGAAATCTTTCTAGACATTTTTATCAAACCTCATAATTATGTTGATGCATATTGATGAGAGATATGCAACTGCATAAACATTTTTTACCTTGACCTTTCCTTTGACCTGGACCTCACTTTTCTTAAAATCAGTGTCAAACTTCATATGCTGATACATACTGAAGTAAGAAATTCAAGTGCATCAGCATTTTTGACATGACCTTTTATTTGACCTTGACCTCACTTTTATCAAATTGTGTTAAGTCAGTTTTAATTAAAGAAATCATTCTAGATATTTTTATCAAACATTATATGTTGATACACATTGATTAGAGATACATTTTTTACCTTGACCTTTGCTTTGACATTGACCTCACTTTTCCTAAATTAGTTTCAAACTTCATAAGCTGATACATACTGATGCAAGCAATTCAACTGCATAAACTTTTTTGACCTTGACCTTTTATTTGACCTTGACCTCACTTTTATCAAATTGTGTTCAAGTCAGTTTTAATTAAAGAAATCTTTCTAGATATTTTTATCAAACTTTATATGTTGATACACATTGATTAGAGATACATTTTTTACCTTGACCTTTGCTTTGACATTGACCTCACTTTTCCTAAATTAGTGTCAAACTTCATAAGCTGATGCATATTGATGTAAGTACTTCAAATGTATCAACATTTTTTACCTTGACCTTTCTTTTCACCTTGACCTCACTTTTATCAATTTGTGACCATTTATAATATTTTTTCAACTTCATATGCTGATGCATACTAATGAGAGCTTTTCAACTGCATCAACAGTTTTTTACCTCTGCATTTCCTTTGACCTTGACCTCACTCAAATGAATATTATGTCAAACTTCATATGCTGATACATACTCATGTAAGCAATTCAGCTGCATCACTATTCAAGATATTCTGATCAAATTTCATACACTAATACAAATTTTCATGTTGCTTTACTAATATACCCTCGGCGGGGCATTCATGTCCTATGGACATATTTCTAATTTATTTGATGAAATACTTTTTTTTAATTAGCAACTGAGATATGGACTACATGACAAATGTGACATTGCAAAGAAGGCAGAGAATAGTTCTAAAAACAGATTCAAGTCTCTTTATGCGTGTAAGTTAATACATAACGGGTATTCAAATGTTAACAATAAATTTTTACCAAAAAATGAGAATAAAGAAAATTGAATGGCTGTATTTTGTCCTTTCTTAAATTATTCAACTGAGGTACGTATAGTATATAATCGATTGAAATTTTTGTTGTTAATTTTTATAGATGACCACAGCCGAGTAAAATTAAAGAAAGACGATGGGAAATCGGACTACATAAACGCCAACTTTATTGACGTAAGGACAAAATAATATAAAGTACACACCTTAAAAAAATCATGTTTTCAAAATTGAAAGTACTTGCGTTTTTTGCATTTTTCTTACAAGTAAATGTTTAATTTGTAGGGTGTGGAAGAAAAAGGCGCCTTCATCGCCTCTCAGGGTATGAACGAAAAACAAAATCAGATCACTGAATTGTTTAATATATGCAAGCTTTTATATATAATAATTCTAATATTTTTTTTTTCTCTTGTACAAACTTTTATTACCCATGGTTAGGATTAAGCAGATTTTTTTTTCTGATTTAGTTCAAATTACAATAATGTATAAATGCAGGACCGTAGCATCGATTTTAAAAGTGGGGGGGGGGGGGGGGGGGGGGGGGGCAGCCACTGAAGTTTTATTTTTACTTACCTTAAAAGGTTCATAAGTACGAAAGCCTATTAGGATCAAACTAGAGAGAAAAAAAATTTAAAAGGCGTTATAACGCCTTTCGAAAAGGCGTAATAACGCGAAAAAAGGCATTATAACGCTTTTTGAAAAGGCGTTATTACGCCTTTCCATTCCAAAAGACGTTATTACGCCTTTTTAAAAGGCGTTATAACGCCTTTCTAAAAGGCGTTATTACGCCTTTCCATTCTAGAAGGCGTTATTACGCCTGTCCAAAAGGCGTTATTATGACTTTCCAAAAGGCGTTATTACGCCTTCCTAAAAAGCGTTATTACGCCTTTGTAAAAGGCGTTATTACGCCTTTCCAAAAGGCGTTATTATGACTTTCCAAAAGGCGTTATTACGCCTTCCTAAAAAGCGTTATTACGCCTTTTAGAAAGGCATTATTACGCCTTTCCAAAAGGCGTTATTACGCCTTTTACTTTCAATACATAACTAAACATATTTAGTCCAACCGAGGGGGGGGGGGGGGCGTGTGTATGCAGAAATCGTACCTTTGGGACATGAATTTCACAATTAGATATAGGACTAATTTCTCAAAAAATAATTTAAACAGATAGCAATTAGATTTCCAGGAAAAAAGATTTTTAAATGCGTCATATATTTTCAATGTTGAACCAACTAAGTCCTTCTTTCATACCAGACACACCTCTACCAAGGGTCATTGATTTCAATTGCTCATTATACTCATGCAAAGAGTTGCTGCTTTTTTCCAAGAAGAGAGAAAAATATCTTCAAATGACATAAATTTTAATACACTGTACATGGCAAGCAAAGCTCCAAGATAAGTCTGCCTATATTCTAGATCTTCACAAGAAGAGTGTTGCCTTCTCTTAATACGAATGCAAACAGTTGTCAGTGAGATGTGCAGGAATATAGAGAATTGCATAAATAAAGATGGTTTTAATTAAATCTTTCTATATTTATTAACAAAAGATAACGCCTTTTCCTTTTCCTTTTCATGTAGGCCAGTAATACGAGTGCGAATGGGGTAAACCCCCTCCAAACATACACACTTTTGAGGAAAAGTCTTGCTACAGTTTAAATATTATAATTAACTATTGGTTTCTTGGTTCCTGAACATTTTGTTGCAGTATGTAAAACTGTGACAAATTATTGCATTTAAATAAATTTTTACCGAGTATTTCCCCCACGAATTTGGCCAGTGAAGTGTGTGTGTGTGTGGTGGGGGGGGGGGGTTTAAAAAGCACGGGCCTGTTAAATGCAAAATAATGGTTATTCAAAAGGCATAATAACTTTTTTGGAAAGGCATAATAACGCCTTTTAGAAAGGCATAATAACGCTTTTTAGAAAGGCGTAATAACGCCTTTTAGAAAGGCGTAATAACGCCTTTTAGGAAGGCGTAATAACCCCTTTTAGAAAGGCGTAATAACGCCCTTTGGAAAGGCGTAACAACGCCTTTTAGAAAGGCGTAATAACGCCTTTTGGAAAGGCGTAATAACGCGTTCTAGAATGGAAAGGCGTAATAACGTCTTTTGGAAAGGCGTAACAACGCCTTTTAGAAAGGCGTAATAACGCCTTTTAGAAAGGCGTTATAACGCCTTTTCAAAAGGCGTTATGACACCTTTTAATTTTTTTTTCTCTCTAGATTGATCCTAATAGGCTTTCGTAGATAAGCAAAAAAAAAAAAAAAAAAAAAAAAAAAAAAAAAAGGGAAAATTGCACAAAGTCGAAAAGGGGAAATCCTATTTCGTGTGTGTGTGTGTGTGTGTGTGTGTGTGTGTGTTGGGGGGGGGGGGGGTAGAGGCAAACTTTTTTTCACTTTTTCACTACCAATTTCTTTCGATATCCATTTTTTAAGCTTACAATACTATATTTCCTTCATATTACTTTACTTTGTATAAAGGGGGGTGGGGGTCCAACCAGCCTTTCAATGAACATTTTCAATAGTAATAGTATTGTTGGCAAAAAAAGTGGGGGGGGGTTAGCCCCCCCCCCCCTGGCCCCCCCGATTGCTACGTCCCTGAAATGTATGATCCGTCAGCTAAATCTATACCGTAAATACCAAATTTGATCTTTATATATATAATAGTTACATAACATTCTATCCCTTCTCTCTCTCTCTCTCTCTCTCTCCAAAATCTGCATCTAGAAAATTAATTTTGATATTCCGTATATTCAGGTCCTAAGATCAATACGATGGCGGACCACTGGTTAATGATTTGGGAGGAAGATGTCTGCATTGTGGTGGCCCTGGCTAACCTTTTTGAGAACGGAAAGGTTCGTATGTATTGAAAAAAAATGACAATGGCAAAATTATCATACCAGGCTTGGGGGGGGGGGGGGGTTAAGCTATCGGCCCATTAAAAAATACATTTTTCATTTTTACCCTATAACCAATGAATAATTCTTCATATTTATATTTCAGGAAAAATGCTACCAGTATTGGCCAGACGGTGATAAGAATTGTCATGCTGGAAAATTCGTCATCAGACAACAAAACAGAAAAGACTACTCGTTTTATTGTGTTCGGTACTGGTCTGTCCTCAATAGAAAGGTATTGTCATATACAGAAGTATATTAAAGACGCGTACTATAGGATTCAAGTTTTAATTTATTTTCATATGTAAAATGTATTACAATATAACATGTACTCCTTGTAATATTTGTACAAAGACCAAGGAAGAAAGAACAATAGTACAGTTCCACTTCCGGGAATGGCCGGACCACGGATCCCCGGAAGCACTAAGTCTCGTCACATTCCAGGCGCATGTTCGAAAAGAGAAAAGTAGAATGGCGGGCAAGATGCTTGTTCATTGCAGGTGCGCGAATTCTTTTAAACATAGCATATTTTTTTTTAAAATATCTTCAAAAATTTAAATGTTACCTTTGAATTTTTTTAAAATTTGTAATAATAATACATTCTAGCATAGTTTATTAACCCATTTTTTTTCTTACAATTAAATGTTCTAATGTTTTTTTTTAACTGCAGTGCGGGGGTAGGTCGTACGGGGACCTTTTTAGCTTTAGATTCATTGCTTGAAAATGGAAGAAAAACAGGAAAAGTTAACGTGTTTGAATACATTAAAAAGATGAGGACCTGTAGAATGAATATGGTCCAAACAGAGGTGATTTTAAAAGAATGCTTTAATAAGTGACTGTTCGAATAAGAATTCTCGTATTCATTGTTGCAAAAATAAATTATTACAAGCACTGGTACTTATGTTTTGTTGTTGTTGTTGTTTTTTAGGGTCAATATGTATTTATACATGAGGCTTTGTTTGAAGCCTTCCGATACAAAAAACATGCACTATCGTACCGAGAATTTGCCAAGGAACTAAAAAAATTAACCGGTGAGGACCAACCAACCAATGAAACGCCCTTAAGGCTGGAATACAATGTGAGTATAAATCATATATTCTAATACTTCGTGACGTCAAAAGCATGTTTTTCAAACTACCACCACACAAAATATAAATTAATTTTTTAAAAAGAAGATGGGGGGGGGGGGGGGATAAGACGGGCAGAATGCCATATGGCGCGACAGATAAGAGGTGAAAATTTTAATCACAATTATAACCAAATTTTATTTCATATTTCATCACCACACAAAATATAGTCATATTAATTTTTAAAAATTGTCAATTTGAATGTAAAATCTCTACAATTTACAAAAATCTCACAAAGACTGAAAATATTTCCCTATGAAAAAGCATACACAGACTTAAAAGAACGAAAACGATCGATCATTATTTCATACTTTAACAAAATTTTTCAATATGAGTGGGTCTTCGCTCCATTTTTTTGAAAGATAATCCTAGAAGTTTGCAATAAAATAAATATTTTTGGGTTTACAAAAAAATGAAGCGAAGACCCACTATACCTTAAAAGTACACTTTCATGACAAAACATTCGCATCTTTCCGAGAAATACTTCAAGTCCATTAAGTCAAGGGTCATATCACTAACATGATTTAAATGCCCCTAATCATCATGAACCATGTAGCATAGTGGTTAGCGCGGTAGTCTCAAAGCAATATGATACTTCGGTATTTTATTGCTGGCCGTGGGGGTTCGAATCCCACGTATACCATCTAATATTTTCATAAATGAAATTTTTTAAGAGATTTAAGAAAATCATAATTTCATAAATTTCAATAATGAGAAGTAAATTGAAATACTCAATTTACATATCAAATGTGATTTCTTAATATCTATATATAGGCATTCTGCCGGCCTTAACCCCCATCTTCTTATCAATTTCATGCTTTTTTTTTTTTTTTAAGGAAATTGAATCCATGAAGCCGTCCTACCCGGAATCGCGGTACAAAGCGGCACTAAAGGCCATCAATAAAACCAGAAACAGAGAGGAGGAGGCCATGCCGGGTATATTTACTATGGAAGAAATTATTAATGTTAATTTTTTTTATTACACTGTATTACATGTATTTCTTTTTTTAATCAAACACTCACTTTCGTTTTCATTTTCCCCTAAAAGTTGATGACTATAGGGTCTTCTTAACTACCCCTGTCGTTGGAAGGAACGACTACATTAACGCAGTGTTCCAGTCAGTGAGTATATTGCGTTACCAATTTTTCCCCCTTGTCTGTTCAAAGAAAAGATTTCCATAGTTCTATTTTCTCCTTTTATTTACAGTCACATACTGAATCAAACGCGCTCATCATTACCTGTTCGCCATTATCACACAATGTTGGAGACATCTGGCGGTTAGTTCATGACCATAATGTAGGTGCTATAGTTCTTATGGGATCATCTGGCCTTCCAGAGGTGCGTATTTCATCGAATTTTAAACACTTTTTAAGGTTCATTTAAGAGAGATAACTCTCGCAGAAATAAATGACAAGTATTGCTTTAATTAAAGTTGAAAAACCATTGCTGTCAAAGGAGATGGGTGAAAAAAAGCGTAAAGAATGTCTATATAGCTTCAGATATATAAAAAGCATACATGTACATGTAATTTGTGAATTAGGCATTTAGAGCAGAGTTCTTATTATTGATTATGTTAATAAATTTATTTGCAAGATGTTAATAAATTTAAGTCACATCACAATTTTCTGAGGAAAAATACCCCGCCAAAAATTATTTTCAAAAAATAGCATGTTTCTCTTTGGGGTTCGACCCTAGCAATAATGAATCCCAGTACCCTATTTCTTTTCAAACATACATTATTAACATTTTCGTCCTTTTCTCTAGTTTTCTCATTGGTTGCCGTCCACAGAAGAAACTGTGGAATTTGATCCCTTCTTTGTCAGGAGAGCTATAAGTTTCGCTGGTAACGAAGAGATAGTAGAATCCACAGCGAAATTCAACGTTCAGGTAGAAGTAGAAAGTCTCATCTCCATTATTTTGTTTCCTTCAAAGGTTATGAAAGTTCGTATAATTTAAATTCACCGATATAACCTTATATCTTGTAGGATAGCCAAGAAGTTGATGAAGTTAAAATTTTCGAGTTTTTGAACTGGAATGTCAATAACGCATACCCTACATCTCCAAAGATGATGGTTAAAATGATCGAACACGTCCATGATTGGCGGAAAACCCGTAATACGGACGGACCTATTTTAATTGTGTCTGTGTAAGTCTATAACACTATTCCTGTTTGCAGGATCCTTTGACTTTTAAGGAGGTTTAAGATGCTAAATACAAGATAAATACGATTAAAGATAATAGAAAAAGGAAAACATCAAGATTTCCAGTAATAATCATAGAAGGGGGGGGGGGCATTTCACATGTCTCCTTGAAAATGAAAGACCAACGATAAAGGGCTTAAAGGCAAACAATACTCTTGCAAGTTTTCATAACTTTTTGTGTGTAATTTTACACATATATTAAAACAAAATAAGTCAACAGACGTACAAAAGTTAAACTGTAAGAATACAAGTCCTGACACCCTTTTTTTCAAAGCATGCTACAGCTTTTAGTTTGGTATTTCGCCCATGGAAATAATCTAATGGCATCTGAAGTTTCATTTTGTGTCCTGATCTTTCTTCTATAAATGTAATATTTGTTTTCCAGGGATGGAGTGAGTTGGTGCGGCGTGTTCTGTGCGGGTTATAACTCGGTAGAACAGTTAACGTTTGATGATGAGGTAGACATGTTTAATATCGTCAGACATATGCGTGTCAGGAGACCCGAACTTATTCCATCCTTTGTAAGTACCATTGTCATTACTGTACAATACATGCTTTTTGACAAGTTTTGTAGATTCCAATGTGCAACAAAATTTATCTCTTGAAATTTTACCAGAAACACTATTTGCAAATGAAAATGTATGTACATGTACTTTTTTTATTTTAAAAAATATATCTGAAGTATATGTAAAGGTCTCATTGAATTATTTACTGACCTCTCACTTTGATGTCTACGTGTCAATTTGTGATATATGGAATCTATGGTATGTCTTATTAAAGATTACCTTATTCTTGTTTTTTATATTTCAGGAGGAATACCAGTATTGCTACCGAGTTGTACAGAACTACATTTGTAGTGGAGGGCCTTATGAAAATGTCGAGCTTCCATGGGAAGGATAAAAATATAGCATTCAGTTAACCAGATACAGCTCATCCAAGCCATTTGTGATATATAGTGCATTTACAATCTACTAAGTTATTACAGACATCAATTAACATGGGACTGTACAACTAATGCATTAAGTACATTGTCACCGGGAAAAACATTGCACATTTATGGGAACATACTGCGTTTCACATCATGCTCTGTATTTTCATTAACATTTTCGGTAAGCCATGTCATCTGTATAATTTCTACAATCCAATACAGTAAAACTTCTCTAAACAGGCCAGCTGCCGGACTGAATAAAATGGCCGGACTAGAGGGGTGGCCGGTTTCCCGAGAATCTAACAAACTGAAAAATTGCAGAGACTATGTGAAGAATGCAAGGATCAATATATAATTGGTGTCTGTTATAATTATCTGTCAACACGTATTATATTCTTAAGGTCTAAAAAATGTAAGTTATCATTAGTGAAGATAAATTCTACATACATGTTGATTTTTAGATAAAGAAATTCAGAATAAGAACAGAAAAACACGAAAAGTTATGTATTTACAGCCTATGCTAGCGATAAACCATTATTAAACAAACCGGATCTGAGCAGACTGTGTAGAAATTAAACTTGTAATTAAAAATAAACTGGACCAGATATACATACAGATACACAGTTCTAATAAATACATGAGATTCATAAATACTGAAATTTTATCTTTACCATAAGAGATTAGTGCTAACCAGGACATTTTAAATGAAACATATCAATTTATGTATAATTTTTGTAATTTCTATTTTATTTATTTTGACACTGTACATTGTATAACATTCACACACTGTTTTGAATTTTGAGTGTGAATTGAATTTTATTGTCCTTATAGTTAAAATTATTTCATATTAAATATACATAAAAATTGTATTTGTTTTTATATTTACAAATATTTGTCTGGTAATAGCAGTATATACTGCACAAGTAAAGGACTGCTTAAAGAATCTTTAAACATGTACACTTAGGCACTAAATCTAGTAGACATAAACACAGTAAAATTAATTGCATATATAACCTCGCTAATTACTGAATAATCACGATAAACAAAGGTTTTACATTGGTATTAATAGCCTACCTAATACCTGTAATTAATATTCTGTTTAATAATAAAATGCATTTTTCACCGTAAAATATGTACTTGATCTGCTTTCACAGCACATAAAATACGTCATGTCGACAAGTTTGCTGCGATCAGTGATATGTTTATAAACTGTTGTATGGGACTTAACTAGCAACTATTTTTAATGCATTGATAAGATTTGATGTAGTTTAATATGCTAATATAGTTTAAAATTGCAAATTATTTGACTTTCAGGTATTAAGATGAATACCTATTTTCTGTGATGTCACAGTAAACATTTCCGTAAAAATTAGGCCCCGCCCCCTTCTTCAAGCCTTAACAATGCTGCGTGAGTTTTAGGATGAAATTCATATCAATAAAATCAAAAGAAAAAGAGGAAAATAGATTTAATACATTACAGTGAGACAATAAGTTAATCACATATTTACAACGGATAGGTTTAAAGTTGCCTTTAAAATATGGCTTTAAAACTTTAACAAATCTTCTGTTCACAGAAAACACAGTCATTTTTAAAAGTAATAAAAGACATACATGTTCACAACACACAGGGAATGAGTAAATTGTCATGCTCTCCATTTAAAAGTCAACAGACTTTTATTGTCAGTGTTCAAGACAAACACTTGGAATAATCTTCAAGGAATACCACAGATTAATGGAAACTCTTACAATGTTTTGACATGGGGTGGATTTAACAACAGTTTAATCCGTTTTGAAATGTTCCGCTGGTGGGGCTGCCTCCTCAGCAGCCTGGATATCCGTGACACTGGGCTCCATATCAACCTGCTGTGACCTCTCCACTTCACCCTCCCCATCCAGCTCTGTGTCCATGTTTTGATCACTAGTATTCAATTCTTGTTCAGCTGACTCCATTTCTTCCTCCTGAGTTTTATTATCCCGACTTCTCTCCTCAGTAGCAGGTTCCTCAGCTCTTGGTGGTGCTTTAGCAGGGGGATCGACCTCCTTTTCTCCCTCGGATCGTAGATTTCCTTTACTCCCTCCACTCTTATTCAGGGTTGAGGATGAGGCAGATTTGTGCGTAGTGGGAGGAGACTGTCCCCCGGGATTTCCTCGATTCTGTTTTATGAACAACTCTGGACCTCCACCATATATTTCTAAAATCATACAATAACTCTCAGTATTCTTTGTATAACTGGAATATGAATTCCTGCAATTTTTTTAATGTACATGTATTTACCCAATTACTTGAAAAATAAGGCCACTACCTGGCAGGTAAACTTACTGTGAAGGAATTTCCAAGTTTCTGCCGAGAGTTGACCGTGATCCGAGTTCTGTCTTAGATAAGTCTGTCCTCCTTTAGTGTACGATATTCTTTGATTTTCTATCGGTCCTGGTGGAGCTGAAATACACAAAAATAAACTCCATAACAGTGACAATTTCAATAAAAGATGATTTTTAGATCACAGATTAAGCAGATATCTTACTGTCAGATTTTCCTCTGACAAAGTTTTCCCACTCTTTAAACCAGGCCATGCTAATGGCATATATGACAGAGGGTCCATCTTCTTCATGGAATTTCTCATTCAACTAAAGAATTAAAAAAATATATTGTAATGTATGTTGATTAAATTAAATAAGAGATAGAAAAAATCACTTCAACACCAAAACTAGAATACTTCCAAATTTAGCACAAATTAAACTGAAAAGGCTTTCTTGAAAATAAAATGCACACTTAATTCAGGTCAGTACTGAATAATGAAACCTTCAATGCTCTTTTTAACATATAAATTTAATCAATAATTGAACAAATATTAATTTTTTGTCTTTGTAACTTAAAGCCTTTTTTAAATAAAAGAATTCTCAATACACAAATACTTATATATACATGTATATATATATATATATATATAATTTAATGGTGGTAAATATGTCGTGAATGTTGTTACGCGTTATGACCAGATTTTTTACTTTCCAAATCTGGTCATGACCAGATTTTTACATGTCAAAGGTTGGCAAGTATGCACAGTAGAATCGCTTAGACCATAATTATTTCTAATCAATGTTGCTCTTAAAGTTAATGCAGGTAACATGCCCAGAATATATTTCACAATTAAAAAATTATCTATATTATTCACACCACTACTGAGATAAATTTAAACCTGTATGAATTGGTCCATTTCTGTTTTCTGTCTAAACTGCAGTTTTTCTAGCTCCTCTTGACAAGTTGTACATGGGATTAAATGGTTACACACTGGACCTCCTCCAAATCTGTGAGTGATATTGTTCATGTTTCAAAAGATGGCTGTACAAAGAAACTATTTTCCCTTTACATTGTTAAAGATACTTAAATATTAATCCCTCTTCCTATTAGGAAAACATGACAGTCTCTTGCAATGAATACACATTTGACTGTATAATATACATTAAAAAAATAATGTGCTTTTAAATTACCTTTGATAGAGGAATTCCCATAAAGCCTGATTAAAGGAAATGACTAGATCATCCACATGATTGATTTTGTGGGGAGGTACTCCTGCAACATAATCCATCAGTTATCAATGTGTTACCCTCCATCATAGTTAATGTTCAAGCTAACAAATGTTATTGTTGTCCCCCGCTTTCGCAAAAGCAAGGGGACATTAAATCTCATTTGTCTGTCCGTCCGTCAGTCTGTCCGTCCATCACAAAAACTTTAACCTTGCCCATAACTTTTGAAACAGTGGAGCTATGACTTTTATATTTCACGGGTATATTCCTTGTGACAAGAGCTTTCTTTGGGTGCCACCAAATTTGTCCTTTTGACCTTGACCTTAGAGTTTGACACACTTTTCTACCAAAATTTTTAACTTTTACTTTGGGGATAACTTTTGAACGGTGGATGCTAGGACTTTTATATTTCACATATGTATTCTTTGTGGCAGGTCCTTTCATTGGATACCAACAACTTTGACTTTTTGACCTTGACCTTAGAGATTTCCGTACTTAGAAAAAAATTTAACCTTGTCCATAACTTTTGAAGGGTTAGGTCTAGGGCTTTCATACTTCAAATGATTAATCCTTGTGAGAAGACCTTTCATTGGACATCCAGAATTTTGACCCTTTAACCTTGACTTTGGAGTTTGACCTACTTTTTAATAACTTTAAGCTTGGTCATAACTTTTGATCAGTTAGAGCTAGGGCTTTCATACTTCACATACGTAATCCTTTTGAAAAGACGTATATTGGATACAAAGAACTTTGACCCTTTGTCCTTGACCTTGGAGTTTGACCTACTTTTAAAAAACAAACCTTGACCACAACTTTTGCAGGGTTAGGGCTAGTAGGGCTTTCATACTTCACATATTTAATCCTTGTGACAAGACCTTTCATTGGATATCAAGAACTTTGACCCTTTGACCTGACCTTGGAGTTTGACCTACTTTTTAACCTTGGCCATAACTTTTGTACAGTTCAGGCAAGGGCTTTCATACTTCACGTATATAATACTTGTGGCAAGACCTTTCTTAAGAAACTACCAATATATATTTAATTTGCATTTAAGAAAAGTTGAATCTTCGCTATTTTGCCATACAAGGTCATCAGGTTCACTTCCTTATAACTTTTGATTGAGAAGAGATAGGGCTTTCATATCTGACATGTGCATTACCTATGACAAGATTTGACACAATATGTCATAAAAAATGACATCCCACCCACAAAGACACCGAAAGCGGGGAACCACAATTCATTGAATTTGCTTGTTCATGCTCAAAAATAATCCTCTTACTGTTCACACAAATAACATTTTACCTTCACTCTTCACACAAATTCAGTTTACCTTGATCATACAGTATTTGACAAAAAATTCTAAACTTGACCATTTAATGAAGAATATATAGGAATTTTTTTAAGCGAAAGTTATCTCTCGTATTATATGATACCTAGAATTCTTCGTCATTCTTACCCCCATGTTTACAGAGGAAATCATCATTACATATTGGACCTGGCTCAGCAAATGTATTAAACTTATTGATCCACTGTTTGGAAATGAAAAACTC